TATAAAAAATCTTGTATATCTCTATAGCTTTCTCTCCGCGAAGTTTCCTTATAGCTAAGGATAACAGATTGACCCGTTCCCACCGCATAGTCAGACGTAGGTACGCATCACACGTGTGCGGGTATCTCCGAGTCCGACATCAGCCGCCTACGTATGCGAAAAGGTCGATAAACCCCTGGTATGGTACCTAGTAATTTTGCCTGCAATGTTGGTATCCCTGTTATCGTTTTAGATTCGCATCAATAGCTTTATGTTGTGAACTACAAGATGATGCATTGTGTACTTGAAGCAATTATGCACCGAGGTACGATCCTGTCCTCACCCGCATTTTAATCAGACAACACGGGAGCTTTATTTGTGTTTCTTTAAATCAGTATAACACAGAATATCGCCTAAGCAGAAAATAGTACGTTGTACATGAATATATTAAAACAATAGAAAAATATCAAATGACTCTAATAAGGGGTGGACCATTTAAGATTTGGAATTAGAATCGGCTATAAAAAAAATTAATATTTTTTCAAAATTATGAGTCTATTAGGAAGATTGAACCTCCTTTCCATTTAGGAATGGAAGACAACATCATTCAAAAGGCTGCCACGGCTAGCCTTACAATACCCCATTCGATAAGTCCAATTTCTCAGTACATTTTCGATTGTTTTAGCCTCTCTTTCGTCAATTGCAACTTAGATTTCATGTTTCAAGTCGCCAATCGTCTCAGAACGGTACGCTAACCATCCAAAGGCGATTGAAGACTTGACTTGACACTTGTTCTTAACGGCTCCCAACAAAAAAAATCCAACGGAGTCAAATCGCAGCTTCGAGGTGACCAATTGACATCATCATTTCGGCAAATTATGCAATTTTCGAAAACAGTGCGCAAAAGATCGATTGTTACGATGGCTGTGTGGCACGTAGCTTCGTCTTGTTAAAACCAAGTGTCATCTATGTCAGCCTCTTTAATTTTCGGAACCAATAAATCGCTTATCAGGGCGCGGTAGCGATCGCCATTTACTGTAACGGCGTTTCCTTGCTCATTTTTTAATGAAAAATGGCCTAATAGTGTCGCCAAACCAAAATTCCCACCAAGCAGTCACTCGTTGTGGATGCATTGGTTTCTTTACGGTGAAGTATGTATTTTCTAAGCCCCAGATACTACAATTTGGCTTATTGACGTATCCTCCAAAAATGTTCTCTCTTCGATCAAGCGGTCTTCGCCCCATTGATTGACCATTGATTGACAGATGGTCGTGCGGTTTTAGCATTTGCACTAATTGAACTTTGTACGGCATTCATACAGAGATCTTTATGCAAAATTCGTCTCAAAGAAGTGCGTGAAATGTTCAAGTCTTGAGAACGATGACGAGTTGAGGTTGATGGTTGTTCACGCACACTCCTGAGCAACGATGTTTTCGGTTGAGCGCACTGGACGAGGTCGTGCACGGGTTTTTTTTATCCAACAACGATCCAGTTTCACAAACTGCATTTTTGGCGCATCCTTTTTGTCAAATTATTTTCATAAATTTCATAGTTTTGGTAGAAGACTCACCACTTTCGTAAATAAGTTTTTAATATTTCCTTACTTGGTCATTTATAAATATCAAACATATAAATAACTTTCTGTCACATCGGAAATATCATAGTGCATTTCATAAATTTCAAACATAAAAATAACTTTCTGTCATATCAGAAATATCATCAAACCTTCCAACCTCAAAATAACCTATAGTTCCAAAGATAGCATCATCCAATTAAAAGATATAATGTCATCATCATCATCGCAGCCCTTCACTAGACCACTGCTGAACATATGACAAGGAACGTCACAAAACGCTCTCGAGCCACCTGAATCCATCGACTATATGCACTATACGTGGTAGAGCCAAGCTGGAGCTTCATTATGGTTGTAGCACGAATGGGTAGGCTCGAGCGTTGTAGGACCACGCTCTCACAGAATATCACCGTAAAATAGCAGTTTAACGCTGCTGTGTTTCGTATGGTGAGTGTAGAGATCCGGAGACCCTTTTTTACTGAAAAAGACGCAATACACTTTAGTCCTCAGGGGTGACAATGCATCTGCGTTTTGATTCTCAATCGAGGATAAATGTAGATGTCTATGGGCCACAGCATCCACTTACCATCAGGTGGACTGTGTGCTCGTTTGCCACTTTTATCCTATTAAAAAAATTAATAACAACTATAAATAAAAAAACGCGATAGGCAGCCTCGCCTGCCAGCGTGGCAAATATGGCAATTATGTTCAGAAGTGTGGAGTTGATAGGCTGCCTACTGCAATTTCAATATAATATATTTGGAAATGTGCACAAAAAAGAAAAATAAGGCTCCTGTGCCATCACAGTATCTAACTGTCGTATTATATAAGTTTTATTCCGCTTTTATAATAGTATTAATTTAATGATCACGTTTTATTAATTATAAAAAATATTACTGCATTAAATTTTATTGTGCTACTTTATGGTTATGACACGCGCACACTTTCAATGAGCGTAATTCTCGTTTGCTTGTTTCGCCCACACAACATTCTATTGAGGGATAAACGATGTACTCGCCGATTTCAAGCAACGGGAACCATGCTAAGACTCACATATTCTACCGGTAGAATAGACCTAATTTCACCTAGAAAAAACGTTTACGTCTTATGGTCTGTTTAGGTTTTTTTCATAAATATTTAAAAAAAAACATACAGAATACTAGCAATGCTCATAATATTACTAACATTGTCATTAACCAATCCCAAATAAGCTAAATTAACGAAAAAAAGATAAAAAAAAAATGTCTGTGCCAGGAATGGTTCACTACAGTAGTCGAATACTGGAATCGAAGTCACTGTTTTTAGTTTCGCAAGAGTTTAACCTCTTAGGCTACTGTCGCAGCCGCTGAATGAAGTGCTTGGAACTTCTTACGCCGTCACTGCAAGACGAAATTACTTGTATAGTTTATGAAATTCTTTCAACTTCTTCTCTTTGCGTATTCTATCGCTTTTACCACGGAGTGCTATAAGGAACAACCCCCCAAACCCTCCTACAAAACCAATAAATAAAAGGCTGGCAACGCACCTGCAATTGCCCTGGTGTTGCAGTTGTTCAGGGGCAGCGGTGATCACTTACCATTAGGGGAGCCGTGTGCTCGTTTGTCCCCTCTCCTATAAAAATGTGTGACATATCTGTGTAGATGAAGTCCCCTAAATGAATTGAGAGAAAATAGTCTAGATTTTATTGTTGATATTATTTTTATTATTGTTATTATGCCGTTGACATAGTTGATGCCTGTTTCTTTAAACTATGAAACAATTGGTTCAATTTAATCCGGCAAGCACTTGGTCTCGTACTGTGATTGCCTAAATGATTGGTCTATTTTATTTGAACCGTTATTGAATATTTTATTCTCGGGGTTATATTGAGCTATGTTTTTCTTTAAATATGACTAGGATATTATTGGATATTTTAAAACAGCAACGTAAATTCTGACGTTCATAAGATCATAAAATACCAAGTACAAATGTTATTTTAATAATACCTAATTAAATATCTATTGCATCACTTCAATCTTGTGATGCCATCAAGAATTTTATCTTAATAAAATAAGTTAACCTGATTTAACCTTAAATTAACAAATAGGTTTTACACCTGCCTATAAATTGTATTCATAGTACCACCGTAAAGGGGTAAAATCACATTTGTCTGCATGTGTTCGCTATTAATCAAATGAAAATTGTTATTTTTGTATTAAATAAGTCGATGCATCAGTTTTTTATTTTGTCAGCTTTTCTCAGTTAGACACAGAAAAAGAAAATAAAACGTGTGGCCGATGTACTGGATGGAAAACATTTTTCTTTAGTTGGTTGCACTAGGCCGTACAATATTTGCGTTGTAATGAAACACATTTTCTTTATCGACTTTAAGCATTGATATAGCGTTCTATATCTTATGGTCAATGCTGAAAGCAAATATTGAAAACCTCATCATCATCATTACAGCCCTTCACAAGTCCACTGCCTAACATAGGCCTCCCCCAAGTAATGTCACAAAGCACGGCCCTGAGCCACTTGCATCCATCGACTTCCTGCATGTCTCACCAGGTCGTCACTCCATTTAGTGGGGAGTCGCACTACACTACGCCTACCGGTACGAGGCTGCCACTCGAGAACTTTTCTTTCCCATCGGTTATCGATTCTTCAAGCTATATGGCCGGCCCATTGCCTCTTCAGCTTACTAATCCGAATTGAAAACCTACCGAAATATATGTTTTTATACTGAAGTGACTAACGGACTTCAGTCCACCTGATAGTAAGTGGCTACTGCAGGCAATAGACACCTGGAGCCAGCTGCAGATGCTTTGTTAACTCTGAGTCTACTCACTCTCACCTCACCCTCGCTGTCACTCTCACAGCCTAAGCCTCACAGCCTCTAAATATATCAAAACGGGTCTCTGTAACCTTCAGACCGAGACACAGCAGTACAAGCGCTGCATTTAGCGGCAGAAATAGCCTAGGCTGCTACCTACCCAGACTTCTAGATACAAAAGGAGACTTACCATCTGTTAAAACTCGGCTGATATTGGTATTTGCTATCCATTAGTATCCACCGTAGACTGTGACCCTGCGTTATGACAAAGTCAAAAATGCCTCCTAAACTTATTGTTTTATTGCCGTTCGTAAAGTAGGGCGGATATGATTTGAATTTCGATAGATTTTTATTTATTTATTTATTTAATTCAAAATTTTTGTTTTTATTTTGTGTAAAATATGAATGGCTTCTACTCCGTCCAAATGTTAAACCTTTTTTTTTCCAGACCGTAAAAAAAGGTCATCCATTAAACTAATAATGCACGAACGTAACCAGACGTGTGTAACTAAATGCGAATTTATGCTTATAAGTGTGATTTTAATTTAATACATTTTATCTGAACAATACTACATTAATTACTTTTGTTTGGACAATCTTTCAGAAATTTATAATCTCAAGTGTTTATATGTCCAGTGAGCGAGAAGCCGACGCCGGCGCCTCGCTTGGGTCCGTACGGCGTTCAGGTGGTGAACACGGGCCCCGAGCACACGTTTGTTCTGGACGAAGAGGCGCTCAACTCACTGCTGTTGCAAGATGACATACGCGACCGTGCCGTGGTCGTGCTCTCCGTCGCCGGTGCGTTCAGGAAGGGGAAGTCTTTCATTCTCAATTGCTTCCTGCGGTATATGCATCACAAGGTGGGCTACGTTTATGACTAGAACTATAAAATGTAGTTTATGGATTTGAAGAGAAAGTTCAAAATTTTGTAATGACATAAGATAATTGTTACAAATAATAATAAATGGGTGCGTTTGGCAGAAAAAAGCGCTAGCAAGCGCTTACAAGCGCTGAAATAGTTTTCGGCCAGGACACGATTGCTACTTCAGTAGCGCTGACACAATCCGCCATTTTGCTTATTTTAATTTGTTTGTTTTGAAGTAGAGTTTATAAGTTGTTTTGTGCAATATTAGTTTTAAGTAATATATTGACATGAATAAACATATACATGTTATTAAAAATTCATGATTGGTAAGTTTTTAATATGAATACTTTACAAACATATATTTAAATTAAGTTAGGTTCCCCGGTTAAAACTAACATCGTGTCCTGGAGGAAAATAGCTACTTACGATTTGACAGCGCTTACCGCTTACGATCGCCATTTTGCTTACAAGCGCTTGCTAGTGCTTTTTTCTGCCAAACGCACCCAATATTTTCTTGTTAATACAATAAGGGTGACAAGAGCACATAATCCACCCAGTGGCGAATCTAGGGCTCCAAACTAGGGCAAGCCCAAGATATTGTTTTGTTGTTTTTAGCAGTATTATAAAAATACACCAGTCTTTATCTGTATCCACTCTTCAGTTTCATATTCAGTGCTGTCAAGGACGTGTTTAACAAAGCACACAGAAAGCATACTACCGTTAGATAGATTGTATGACATATCAGCAATTGCATACCTTCGGTAGCTTTGAACAAAGCCGTTTGGGTTTGCTTGAGCGAAAGAAAAAGATATTTACGTACAATTCAATACATGAACAAAGGAAAAGCATGAGCAAAGTACAAACAAACCATGTACAAAATTAAAAAAGGGACGCCGAAATGATATTGTTTAAGTTATATGCATAGAAGAACAGATTACAACAGGAATTAGATATGGTATAATGAAAAGATAAAGCATTACAGTTTTTTTCTATAAAGTAATGACTGTTAATATATAATTATTCATTTTCAATTTTAATAAACCGAACATAATGATATTTTTAACTCATATGGTAATATAAATATTGAATTATTAAATTAGCCGATATCGTGTTTGTGCCATCTAGCGTATTCTTTACGTACCACCGTAAGAGCCGCCACCACCAGAGTACCACCTATGGATTTAAGTAGATGGCGCTATTAAAATTTTATTAACTGAAGGACTAAAGGAAATATTCTTTAAAAATCTCAATACATGTATTCTTTTGATTTATTACATTAAAATTTAGGCTTCACATTAAAAAAAGATTGTACCAATTATTTACTATAAAATTAAACTTATTCCTATCTCTTATTTTATGTTGCTGTTCAAAATAATATTTGTAAGTCATATGATAATATAAATATTGAATTATTAAACGCCTAGCTTAATTAAAAATACTAAAGTCCTGTACCTATTAAAGTATAAAGAAATGTTTATTGAATTAAAATTTCATTTTTACCTTTTCGTCGCCGATTAAAACTTATATTATCCTCCATTTTCACTAAAAATCTTTAAAAAAGCATAAATTTATAACTCGCAATATTCATTCGCTCTAACAGTAATACACAGTAAATAAACATTGAAATGTGAACTGAACTTGCAAACGTATCGTTCGCGCTTGACTTTCATCAACTTCATACCAAAAGCTTAACTTAAATAATTTGGCGGTATTTTAGTTCATTAAGAGGAATCTGTTTAATAATTGATAATCCACGAATAAATTTACTTAATTTATTATTTTGTATATCGTTGTTAAAAAAATATTTTTAATAAAAACAATATTTAAAAAAATTTATATAAAATTAATTCAGATCAAGATGCAGATTATAATTAAGAATATAATGGATTACAATAAATAAATTTAAATGAATAATATTTTTTAATAAATATTTGACGGTGGATTTAAATGTAATTTTAATTAATTTATTAAAATTATTATATATTAAAATATGTAAATATTGCCCGTCGCTTTCGTTAATAAATTGGAATAAGTCGTAACAAAGTAGAGGTACTGGAAAGTATTTCGGCTTAACGCTCTATGCTAAATTGCTATGTAAACAATCGTAGTTATATTTCATTATAGAACATTTTGCCACAGGTTAGAAAGGGCGCGATCGTCTTCTCGAAAGCCCGGTAAGAGTCTACACGTGCGAGAGACGACTAATCGCTCAACTCAACTCTATGCTCTAATTAATTTTGACAGTCCATTGCGTGTTTGCCTTGAGACAGAGAGAACACGAATCAGTGTATTTCGAATTGAAATCAATTTGCCAAGTGTTGACGTTACATAATACGGCTACGAGGTCATGACCTGTGTATAACAGAGGAGCGCGCGGGAAATTTGAAATAGTTTGAAACAGGTTACGAGTTATTTTATTAGTTGATATTATCGATTGAGCAATTTGATAGGGCAAGCCCGACTTCTGGGCTTCTATGGAGGCTTCGCCACCGAGTCCACCTAATGGTAAGTGGATACTGTGGCTCATAGACACCTACATTTATCCTCGAATAAAAATAAAAATATAGGTGCGTCATCATAGCTGAGGACTAATAATAAATACCTCGTTACCAGTAAAAAGCGTGTACGGTACGTATGTTCACCATACGGAACACGTAAGCATTATTAAACTAGGTATTATTTTACTGTGGTATTCTGTAAGAGCTTGGTTCTTTTTCGGTCAAGCCGCCCCTTCGTACTGCTACCATTATAAAGCTAGCGGAATGATTTGAACCATTCACCATCAGGTGGACTGTGTGCTCGTTTATCAATCACCTTTTGTTCTATATTAAAATAAAAAAACGTTAAACCGGTTTGGGTACGTTAGGACTAGTGAACCGCTTCTCTCCTAGTCAATTGATAGATTCATAGCCGTAAGACGCCTTGAAGCGTGGTTTGAACCACTTACCATCAGGTAGACTGTGCGCTTGTTTTTTATTCTTTATTCTATATAAAATCCAAAATGTTTTAAATCGTTTTCGGTACGTCAAAACGAGTGAGTCTCCTGGTTAGTTGGTGTTCCTCAGTATCCTTGGTCGAGATGTGCAATAATTATTCTTTCCATGATTTGTTGCAGTATGGGCCGGGAGGTGGCGGCGGCGACTGGCTTGGAGCCGAGGACGAGCCTCTGCAAGGCTTCAGCTGGCGTGGCGGCTCCGAGCGCGACACCACCGGCATCCTCATGTGGTCCGAGGTCTTCAAGACCACGCTACCAAGTGGCGAGAAAGTAAGTTTATTGAAAATACCCTACAGAGAAAAATGTATACTGGTCGAGTGGTGTAAGATTTATAAAAGTTTCATAATCATTCTTAAGGTTATCATATAAAGTTTACAAAGAAACACTATATAATAATTAGTCCTTACCTTATTTTATATTCGGAATTGAAAGAAGTTTCATCAATTCTGGACTTAGGTGTAAAAAAAGGTGTGACTGCAAACTGCAGTTCAACGCGCACATAGACATTACTGTAAACACTGGCTTCTAATTTGTTTTGTTCTTTGGCAAGGAAAAGATTTCAACAATTTTTCTACTATATTACAACTGTACAATGTTTATGTCAGAAATAACTTAAAATATTGTTGTCAGACATTGAGAGTGTACTACCAGATACTATTGATCATATTGAAAAGGTTGTGAAACACCTTATTTTATCGATTTGGGAAACCAAAAAAAAATATAAATGTTATTCTGATCTACTAACTTCGTTCATCAACCCGCTTCATATTATAAGAATAAAATATGATAAAATAGATAGCCCAGATATTTAGAATTTGTAGACTTAGCGATATTCAGCGCTGCGACAAACGGCATTTATTCAGGATTCCATAAATTTTGACAAATCTTTGGCAAACACTCACATTTTATAACTTGTATGTAAGGAAAATTAAAGATTCAGATTTATTCCCTAATAGTATACATTCATTTTTTAATTAAAAAATATCGAGTAAACTATAGATAACAGCTCAAAATCATAAAAACTGTGTCTGCCAAGTGCGTCGACTATTGCAAAATACCCGCTGTGAGACCTTATGTTCAGTAGTGGACTTTTATTGGCTCTAATGTACATACTGATGGTAGAGTAAAAGGAGTCGGTTTCATTACAGACTATAATTCACTTCATCTTTGTCCTTATGGATCATAACGCATCTGTGAACTTCTTTGTTTAGTGATGGCTGCTGGTGCCCTTACCATCTGACGCACTGCATGCTCGCTTATCACTCAAATATTGAAAACATATGTATCTGAGAACAGTTTTTTTATCATTACAAACTTCTGAAACAAATAAGCTTGAGGTTCGTGACAATAAAAATTGCCGATAGAATTACCTAAATTAACACTTTAATTCACTTTACACTAATTAAAGTTAAAAACACTAATAATTAATCACACTGATTCACTTTATTCCGCTCCGAAGCTTCGCTTGTCTCGCCCAATTCAATACTTTTTTGATCGCATCTTGCAGCGCCTATTTATATAAATTAGCAGTGAAATATCCAGAATATTCAAGTAAACACGCGCAAGGTACCGAGAGTTCGTGTTTCAACTTCAAGAAGTTTAGTTTTTCGGTTCGAGACTAGATGGCGCTAGTGCCGTCGACTTGAGCGCGTAACAATATCATAAATATGATGTACGTGTTGTTACAGGTGGCGGTGATACTTTTGGACACGCAAGGCGCATTCGACAGTGAATCTACTGTGCGGGACTGCGCTACCGTGTTCGCACTGTCCACTATGCTCTCGTCCGTGCAGATTTACAATCTCTCTCAGAACATACAGGAAGACGACCTGCAGCATCTACAGGTTTGTTAGATGCTTTTAATTATTTTTCTATTTCACTCCAATTAGAGTTCTCGAGGGTCTCGATTGTTATACTTAAGCTTATCATCAATTGAGAAAACATTTCTATAAACGATGAATATAACTGTCTAAAAATCGACCCTTGGAACACTTATTCAACTCCCAAACTTGCTTTTTAGAAGATAAAATTGAAATATTAAACTAAAATAAATATTGTACTTGTGTTACAATATTGATGTCACTTTATTTCCCTAACATCTTATATTATATTGGCCCCAAGATCCTTCTACAAATTATTTTTTATTCATTATGCTCTCACTCTCAGAGTTCTCACTCACCTCTTTCCATTTGATCCAGCGCAGAGTGGCTCGAATCGTCGACGACCAAGTTCTTTCCAATCGACTTGACTCACTGACGCTGCAAAGAAATGTTGCATTTCTTTGCATATTCTATCGCATCTATCACGGGAAGTGTTGGGCTGATTCCAGCTGCTCTATTTCACCATAATTCATCGCGACAAAACTTGCGATACCATCCAAACCATCTGGATAATGGACGGTCCACCACTGATCTATTTACAAGAAGTTTTCTTCCTCCTACAACTTCCTTCTGGAATCGACTACCACTAGGACCGATACGACTTAGGGACTATCAAAAAAAGAGCCTACTCTTTTTAAAAGGCCGGCAACGCACCTGCAATTCCCCTGGTACGTATGTCATCTTCTGCAAGGGCTTCTTAGGCTCTGCAGGTCTCAGGCCTCGGAGTATTATGCACCATTGCCCGGATTATCCTCACAGCCCACTTCTATGGGCCGGTCTTGGGAGCCTCATTTAGGCGTTGATGGTTGGACGGTTATCTTGCAGTTGTTCATGGGGGGCGTTAGTCACTAACCGTCAGGTGAGCCACATGCTCGTTTCATATCAGAAGCTTATTCTTGGTTCGGGTCCTATATTTTCCGTACATTAAAAATGTGATCTAGTTTAAATAGACTAATGATTGTAGTTCCTGGACAGTTGTTCACAGAGTACGGGCGGCTGGCGCTGGAGGACAGCGGGAGGACACCATTCCAGCGGCTGCAGTTCCTCGTCCGCGACTGGAGCTTCCCGTACGAGGCGCCCTACGGTGCGGAGGGTGGACAAACGATACTGCAGCGACGACTTAGGGTAACAAACACACTGTCGCATCTAACTATAACTATAAATACATATATATATATATATAAAAAAAAAAATATATAAAAATATATTATACGTGGTAGAGCCATGCTGCAGTTATATATAGTTGTAGCACGAGTGGGTCGGCTCGACCGGGAAAGGACCACGCTCTCACAGAATACAAGCGTGAAATAGTAGCTTAATGCTGCTGTGTTTCGTATGGTGAGTGTAGAGAACCCTTTTTACTGGAAACGAGGCATTCCATCTTAGTCCGCACGGGTGACAACGCATCTGCATTTTGATTCGTAATCAAGGATAGATGTAGATGTCTATGGACCACAGCAACCACTTACCTTCAGGTGGACTGTGTGCTCGTTTGTCACCCTATCCTATAAAAAAAATACACACACACACACACTTGTTTTTAAAAAAGCCATAAAATTTAATATTATCAGGTAAATTTTTACTACCATGGAAAAATATTGTATCTGTACTGTGTGTACTTTTTATACATAGAAGGAAAAGTGACAGGCGAGAACACAGTGCACTTCGTGGTACCAGTAATAAAGAGTCTCCAGCTCTCATCACTATTCGAATGAAACACACCAGCATCATGTTGGTCCCATTTGTGACGCAGTCATAATATAGCAGCGTGGCCCTGTCGTTACCTCTCGACTATCTAAAATCCACTGCTAACAAGTGCTATTTAACCTCGATTAAGAATTAAAATGCACATGCGCTGTTACCCCCGAGGACTAAGATAGAATGCCTAAATGCCGGTTCTCAACACTTACCATACGAAACACAGCAGTATTTTGCTACTATTTTACGCTGGTATTCTGTGTGAATGTGGTCCTTGCCCCGGTCGGACCAACCCATTCGTGCTACAATCATAATATAGCTTCAGCGTAGCTCTACCACATATCTGCCACTTATAAGACAATATGAAACACAGCAGCAGTATCCTGCTTTTAAAGCCACAATTCTGTGCAATATTGATAATAGATATTAGATATATATGAAAAGTTGTGTGATAAGAGAAGGGTGTGATTTGTAAGATGATGTTGTGTAGAAAGAATGAACGAGGAAATAGTGACAAAGCAAATTTATGTTGCAGAAGTGAACGGCAGAGTCAGGAAGGAAAAGGCAAAAGTTTTGAAAATGGGCCCAATCAAGCCCTTAAACAACGAGCATGTATTCCTAGGTATATGGATGTAGAGGAGGCGAGATAGATGTATCAGGATCATGCCAAACGGATTTCCGTAATCCTCTGCCTACCCTTCTTTGTGACAGGCGTAGTGTTTATTTTTGTAATTCAGTCAAGCGTGGTCCTTGCCGAATGAGCCGACCTATTCGTGTAGTAGCTATAATATACTCTACTACATAATAGAAGACTGGAACTTTTCTTCTTTTAATCTCCAGGTATCGGACAAGCAGCACCCCGAGTTGCAGTCACTGCGCAAGCATATAACGTCATGCTTCTCGGAGATCGCCTGCTTCCTAATGCCTCATCCCGGACTAAAGGTCGCAACAGACCCTAATTTCAACGGTAGACTTTCGGGTAAGTCTTCATTACTTCTTAATCGCCAATTAAATGTCGATTTACTATGTACTAGGTGATGATGTAAAACTTGTCTTCAGCATTGGTGTAGTTGATGCAATTCACGAACTCAAGCGGGCTTTACTCGTAGTTGACTTTTGACAGTTGAGTGTGCGTGCCTGAAGGAGCGATCAGTTTCACGCACGCTTTGACACATTTACATACAGATACGTGTTTACCATAATCAAAGTCCACTCGACTTCGTGAATTGCAAGAGCTGTACAAATGTAGACTGAATATTATCATCATCATAATTACAGCCTATCAAAGTACAAGTTACAGTCGGCTGAATATAAACCTCCTACCTAGATTGCCTTATGAGGGAGGGGGATATTTGCTATAGTGCCACTCTTGGCATGTGTGTTGACAACCATAGTTATTTATGATTGTTTTTGTTAGCAGGGAGATACTGCTACCCATCTCTTTTATTTTCGTCTATCGCCTCTTACGATATCCGTGGGGTATTGGATTATCTTGCACTGCCACTACACAGTAAGATTGAATATAAATAATATATTATTATTGTCCTAATCATGTCTGTCCGCTTAATCCAGATATCGAACCTGAATTCAAACGGGCCTTACAACAGTTAGTTCCTATGCTGCTGGCGCCTGACAACTTGGTCCCAAAACTGATCAACGGGCAGCGAGTGAAAGCTAAGGACCTGCCGCAGTACTTCAGGTCATACATGAACATCTACAAGGGCAACGAGCTGCCAGAGCCCAAGAGCATGCTTGTGGTAATTAATTCTTTTTCAATTAATATTTTTTCGCGATCTAAGGTTATATTTTATTTATGTAATATGGGATTTATTTTAACATACATACATACAATTTACGTGGTAGAGCCATGCTTCAGTTATATTAGTAGTATATTTGTAGCATGAATGGGTCGGCTCGACCGGAGAAGGACCACACTCTCACAGAATACCAGCATCAAATAGTAACTTAATGCTGCTGTGTTTCGTGTGGTGAGTGTGGAGAACCGGAGACCCTTTTTACTGGAAACGAGGCATTCCATGTTAGTCCTTACGAGTGACAACGCATCTGCATTTTGATTCGTAATCGAGGATAGATGTAGATGTCTATGGACCACAGCATCCACTTACCATCAGGTGGACTGTGTGCTCGTTTGTCACCCTATCCTATAAAAAAAATACATTTGAAATAATACACTTAGTTAAATGTTTACTTCGGTTTTAAAAGACGGTTATTTCTACCATCAAACATATCCTAAAAAGGACTTTATGCTACAAAAATCATTGGAAACTTACGGCCTTTCATCACAAAGTCTATGATAAAATCAACCTTATCATACAGTAGTTAAAGAGCAAATCAAATTAGGATTATTGATTATCAAAATAGGATTTCATGTTATGTTTGATGTATATTACACACCTCAACTGCAAAACAGGTTGGGCTTTACTGTCTACTTCGCAAGGTCACGCTCTTTTTTGTGATGAGCCAAATTTTAGATGTCATATTGTTATATATAGTTGAAATTAAAAAAAACACACACAATTTTTATTGACAATTATATAATATTTTATTTATTTCAGGCAACGGCAGAGGCAAATAACCTGACAGCAGTGGCCGAAGCGAAGGAAGTTTACACAACCCTGATGGAAGAAGTGTGCGGAGGGACGAAGCCCTTCCTACAGACGCAAATACTGGAGGCGGAACACGCTCGTGTGAGGGACAAAGCGCTTCACGCTTTTCACTCCAAACGCAAAATGGGTGGCGAGGAGTTCAGCCAGTCGTACTGTGAACAACTCGTGCAGGTGCGAAAATATTTGGAATTATACACAATAATTTTTAAAAAAGTATAAAATCTTTATCGAAATCGCAAACCAAAAACGTGCTTTCACATATAATCTTTTTAAACCTGATGTTATAAACCTGATAATACATATTGTAAAGTCGATTAATAATACTAATGCATAATGCATAAACTTATTTCCAAAGAAGTAATAGTTTATATAGCTAGTAATGGTGCTGTGAGGCGTTCCTTAAGAGTCCTTTGAGGTCACAACGCATTTCTAGTCTTCTTTATTTGAAGTTGGTTTCAATTGTCCATTGACTGCTAGCCACTTGCTGGTGAACTGTTAGTTCGCTTGTCACTTTACAGTTTTATATAAAGAGAGAAACATAAGTCAGAAATACCGGTAATACAATACATCAGGAGTTTAATTGTTACAAGTGGTAAAATTAAACATTTTTGTACAACCGACTTTAATATGAAATGCGACTACACTTGACACACCAGCTTTCAAATGAAAGTCAGTCCTTCTAGAAAAATGTTCTAAGATAACACACATGATAAACCATACAGTCGAATTGAGTACCTCCTCCTTTTTGAAGTCGGTTGAAAATAGTAAAAGTGAGATCGGATGTTCAACTTACACTCTTGATTACGCAATTAATCATTACCAGCAATAAAACAGTGCGGCACTAAATTCAGTATAGAACAATACAGTTCGATCATACTGTAATATGTCCTTGTCACAGTTTAAACACTAGTGCAACGTGAGGGACGTAGTCACTACCCGTGCGGTAAAAAAATGACTAAAAACTCACACCCGTCGATAAAGACTAGGGATGGGCCGAATATGGATTTCACCGAATACTAATATTCGGCCGAATATTCGGTTAAATTTTTACCGAACTGAATATTCGGCCGAACACTATTCGGCAGGAGAACCTCGGGACTTAACCAATTTATGTCGAAACTTGTTACCGTAAAGCACACGGGATTAGCGCCGGACCCTCCCTCTCGCTTCCCGCCACACCTGACATGATATTGCATCATTTAGTACAGAGCAAATTGCCGGCACATGCTTATGTTTTGACTATTATTGTGATAAAAAAGTATTTCGTTGTTTTATTCTTAATTAAAGTTAAAGTTATAGCCTATATACGTCCCACTCCTGATCACAGGCCTCCGCTCATAGTTATAGTAGGGCAAGGAATTGTCCACCGCACTGCCCCAATATGCTTGTTGGCGAACTTTACATGTCTTCGAAATAATTTTTTCCTTATTTCTCAGACATGCAGGTTTCCTCACGATGTTTTCAAAATTTTTGTAAATCAACACTTAAAATTCCAATTAATAATTTCATTGGTGCCAGCGGGGATCAAACCCAGTTTGGTCGTGCACTGTGAAATTTACAGCGAGCACTAACCATCTGACCTACCATGGCTCTTTATTCTTAGTGAATAAGGTAAAGAGCCATAAGAATTTTATTCTTAGTGAAAATTGATAATTATATGATAAAAATGAGCGGCAGGAGATTTATTATTTAGACTTATTTTAGAGAAACTGACGACCAAAGTAAAGTGAAATGTACTAATGTAATTTAATGTTTCTTTGTTTGATTCCAAAAACATTTGATCAAGTTTTTATTTGCCATAATCAGAAATAAATCCACAGTGCCTCAAAACATTAATGTATAGATTCATGCATTTGAGGCACTTTTAGAGTAAGTAGATTTAACCCATAAATAAAATATACTTTCAACAGTAAAATACATCGCATTACTCAATTTGTACATTTCAATACATTGGACACTATGAAAATGTTCGGTTCGAATGTTCGGTGATTTAGCGGAATATTCGGTAAACCTGCCGAATATGCCGAATACCGAATATAAAACGAATATTCGGCCCATCTCTAATAAAGACTGCAAAAAAAAAAATACGTTGCGATATGCGTTTTTCGGTACGTTCTATAACTTCAGTCCAACTTGTCATTAAAGTCACACAACTCCACAAATTACTAAAAAAACACTCCGGAATTACTAATTTGTGAGCTACGAAGCGTTCTGAGAGATCCGATCTGTCTGTTTTGATTTAGATTAAATTTTATCCGAAAAATCTAGATATTTTATTTAAACTGAAATATGGATAAGATAAAATAAATGATATTTAATGATTATAACAATTCTAAATAACGCTACATTAATAGATCCCTTTATTATGTTATTTTAAAGTGAATTTTTCGTGGTAGAGCCATGCTGCAGTTATATTAGTAGTATAGTTGTAGCACGTATGGGTCGGCTCGACCGGGGAAGGACCACGCTCTCACAGAGTACCAGCGTGAAATAGTAGCTAAATGCTGCTGTACTTCGTATGGTGAGTGTAGAGAACCGGAGACCCTTTTTACTGGAAACGAGGCATTCCATCTCAGTCCTCACGGGTGACAACGCATCTGCATTTTGATTTTTAATGGAGAATAGATGTAGATGTCTCTGGGCCGCAGCAACCACTTACCATCAGGTGGCTCGTTTGTCACCCTATTCTATAAAAAAAAAAAAAAAAAAATGTACCTACATGCGTATACAATTCTTTTCAAATACTTCTCCAATAATGGAAAATTTCCAATAACCGAGTAATATAACGCTATAATAATATACCGTTATTAACGGGTTTCCGCTATTGATACTGTGCATGTTGACGGTACGGGCTTGATAAGTCGCCATTTGCAATCCCATTCTTTATCCGTACGGACTATACATGATAACACCAAAGTATGCAAACCAACCGCAACACTACTCATCTAATTGTAACACAGATAGGCCTCTCAGAAACACCATCCCTGCACCAAAAGAATCGCCACAACGGACAGAACCACCATACTATTTTAGCACTCGTAGAATGACAGGCGGAATGCACATATGCTGAATCTTATACTGCACAAACGAGTGCGGATTTCCCGATCTACCCTCAATTCTGCCACCATCGATAAGACGCTCCGCTAGTGATGCAACCTCTCGCTCACTCTCGACCCATCCTAATAATATAACGATATATTGTTATTAGGATAGAGGATGGTGTTGGATATACGTGTTAGAGCCACGCTGCAGCTATATTATGGTTGTAGCACGAATGCGTTGGCTAGATCGGGGAAGGACCACGCTCTCACAGAATATCAGCAATTACAAAATAGCAGCTTAATACTGCTGTGTTTCGTATGGTGAGTGTGGAGAACGGGAAGCCCTTTTCTACCGGAAACGAAGCATTCCATCTTAGTCCTCGGAAGTGACAACGCATCCGCATTGGGCCACAGCATCCACTTACCATCAGATTGACTGTGTGCTCGTTTGTAACCCTAATTCAATAAAAAAAAATCGGTATTTTATAGACATTCCAACAATTATGTGTAATGTATGGGCTAATTAAGACACTTGCACCACAATGCAGCGGTATCGTTTTTTTTTTTTAAGAAAGAATAATTAGTAATTGTAAGTATCTTTATGACACAGGATCTTGAGGAGCAGTTCCAGCAATTCAAAGCACACAACGAGAGCAAGAACATTTTCAAAGCGGCAAGAACGCCCTCCGTGTTCTTTGCGATAGCGATGTTCTTTTACGTGCTGAGCGGTGTCTTCGGATTGGTGGGCATTTACGCGTTCGCCAACCTCTGCAATATGGCCATGGGTGTAGCGCTGCTCACGCTGGTTCTGTGGGCTTACATAAGGTATATAAGAGGCTTACATAAGGTATTCATTTACTTTTCACGTTTTTATAAGCTTCGCGTGTACTATCTGTGTAATGGAATCTTTTAATGTAATTTTTACTAACTTGTTGACGGCCAATTACTTAAAAACTTTAACCTAGTATCCTTATCGCCATTTTATGACTATAATTGAGTAATTACTCTTTAGAATCATCACATGGCATGATCAATGCGTGTTTTTTTAAACCTTTCTTAAATTTTAATATTATTTTTTATAGAATAAGTGTCACAAACAAGCACGCAGTCCACCTAATGGTAAGTGGATTTTTTGGTCTGCAATTATATTCGTAGTATAGTTGTAGCACGAATGGGTCGGCATGACCGGAGAAGTACCATGCTCTCACAGAATACCAACGTAAAATAGCATCTTAACCACGCTGTGTTTCATATGGTGAGTGTAGAGAACTGGAGACTCATTTTACAAGAAATGAGATTCCATCTTAGTCCTCACGGGTGATAACGCATCTGCATTTTGATTTGTAATTGAGGATAGATGTTTATGGGCCACTGCAACCACTTACCATCAGATGGACTGCCCGCTCGTTTGTCACCATTATCCTATAAAAAAAAATGGATTATCACACCCTTTTCCAAGTACTAAGATGGAACACCTCGTTTCCAGTAAAAAGGGTCTTTGGTTGTTGATCGCAGCGATGAGCTGTTATTTTACGCTGGTTTTCTGTGAGAGCATAGTGTCACTCTAGTCAAGCAGACCCATTCGTGCTACAACCATAATATAGCTGCAGCATGGTTTTACCACCTAAAATTTTGACTTTATTTAAACTTTACATTTCTATAGTGTTTCTTTTTTTATAATTTACCTCGCAGTGGCGGTATAGGAATATCCACTGCTCCATATCGACAGAATACGACAGGGGGAAACAAATCAGGAGCAGCGTCTTCCTGAACAGCTAGAAATAAAAAAACTTCCGTTGTCAACCCGCCTGGCTAGCGTGGTCACTGTGGCAAATATCCCCTTATGAGGCAATAAATATATGCAGAGGCCTGTTTAGCAGTTGATTTTGATAGGGTGTGTTAAATGAATGAACATTTACAATAAACCGTTTAAAAAAGTAAATAAAATAAATTAATCGTTTTTGAAGTCCTCGATCTACTGTGTCTTAGCTTCAACTTCGGAAGCTATTAAATATGTTAATATTACTTTATTCTTTTTAATTTTTTGAAGTTAGTTTTTACTTTTTTTTAAGCTTAATTATTTGACTATATCACAAGCCCGAGGTAACAAGCAGAATGCCATCTAATTTTCATTAAATCGTCTTCCACCTGATATACATGTGGCGTTATTTAGATTTAAGATATTGATACCATTTATTTCATTAAAACAATTTTTTTTTTCGGATAAAATATAATTTAGATTGCTCCTGGCACTGCTATCTGTCTGTTCGTAAAGTTTCATCACATTGGTTCAGCCATTCCAAAGAATAGCGCGGACAAAGAGACGAACGGAAGGACAAAACTTTAAAAATGGTTATTTTTTATCATAATTATGTGCAAATAACCTTCTGAGCTTAAAAGAAGCCAGTTATTTCAATGTTACTGTGGCGGCGCTGTCGTCGAGCTACAAACGAAACACGTATAAGCTTAAATTGCGCTATCAAAGTTCCGAAGTAAATTCAGTATATATAGAATAGCTCCGGACCATCACTCGGAGCATTGACCACTCCACGGGCAGAACTATGTACTTCATAAACACATATTTTAACTTACAGTTTAGTACTTAATTATTTCATTTTAAAAAGCTTTTATCTCCACAACTGTAGCTGTAGACTGTATTATGTTAATAAATAAAATAAAAAAGCACACCTTGCCCGGTGGGAGATCTACCCATCTCCTGCCACGGCCACAATACTGACACTTCAATTATATTTCCCCATATTAGATTTTCTTAAATTAATCAGACCATTAATATATAATAAACTAGACTGCAACTTAATCTTTCAGGCCCCTATTAAATGATGTTCATTACAGTATGTGCAGCCTTTTTTAAATTATACACCAATAAATTAAATTTTAATTTTTTTTTAACCTCAGGTACAGTGGAGAGTTGCGAGAATTTGGTGTCGTTATCGACGACACAGCTAATTGGCTTTGGGACAATGTAAGTACAATATATGCCGTGTAGTGGCCGCGTAAGTGATTCCACAGCCCTGTCGTAAGAGTTGACTGGGAAATCCCAAAAAGATCATACGGCATAATACATAATACTATAATACATACGTAATAGAACGGGGTAGTGGGCAGAGTCCGTGTAGCCACTAAAATGTCACTAACACGGTCAATTCACACGTATGAATGTCAACACGAGATGGGTTTTGACGTTACAATCGTTTCCAAATATCGCATGCAAATTATTTTGAAAACGTCAAATTGCACACTATTTACAAATATGTATTAAAATTTAAACGATCTTTTTGAATGATGATCTTGAACATTAATCAAAAGTCTAAAATGTGTAAATTTACTCAGTCTGTCAACACACTGAATCTTGTTTGTAGATAATACGAAGTAATTGCATGTATGTGTGCTCCCGGCGACGCCGAACCTCGTACAAAATAAGGTTGACAGCCATTCTATTGTGTATTATAGTATTCTATGTCATACGACTTCTGATATATGGCGGTATAAATAACTTGCTTAGTAAAATACCCAGTCCGGCGACAGGCAGTAAACGTCGTGTACAGCTAGCGGCACGTAACTCTAGCGCTGAATGAATCGTGGAGGGGATAGCTGCGAATGTCGTGTCAGTACGGGGGACGGAATGCGACTGGAGAGTCAATCAGCGCGTGCGAACGATACACACAGCCAATCATACGCAACAATGGGCAATAAAGCCAATTATGCGCAATAACGGTCACCACTAGACTTTCGTGCCGCGAGTTGTACTGTGATCGGTAATCCGCCTTTCAAGCGTGACGCTTAAGGCAAATTTTGTCTACAATAGGTGAGTAGTACCTTTTAGAGTACCTTGTCTAGTTGTGGGTTCTTACGGGCTTAGGAGAAAAAAGGCTGGTGTATGGTGTAATGAATACTTTCAAAAAGATTTTTTTTAAATAGAATAAGGGTGACAAAAGTACACACAGTCCACCTGATGGTAAGTGGATACTGTTACCAATCTACAATTATCCTCGATTAAGAATCACAACGCAGATGTGTTGTCACCCCTCAGGACTAGGATGGAATGCCTCATTTGCAGTAAAAACGGATCTCCGGATCTCTACATTCATACTACATTAAGCCGCTATTTTAGGCTGGTATTCTGTGAAAGCGTGGATCTTGCCCGGTCGAGTCGATCCATTCATGCTACATCTATAATATAGCTGCAGTGTGGCTTTACCACGTAAAAAAGCTCCCTTATTGTTATTTATATTTGTACTGTTTGATGTTAGCTAACAGTAACAGTATTCCAAATAAATGGGTGGTACGCCATCTTTCTTTCGCTTTGGAGTCCGTCTGGTTACCAACCACTCTCTTACCTATTTGTGCCGCTAAACCTTCAGTTCTCCCACTGCTGTGTTTCGGTCTGAATACAGAGAGCCAGTATAAATAAAGACTGTGAAGCATTCCATCTCATTCTTCAGAGGTGACAATGCACCTGTAGACTTCTTTTTTTGAAGTTGGGTGCTGGTGGCCGTGGACTGCAGAGGCCACTTACCATTAGTTGGAATGTGAGTTTGTTTCTCACTTCAATTTTGGAAAAAATAAAAAGTTGTTCTTTAAAGAATTAAAGAGTGTGCGTGCTGGTAGTGGCTGCAACGGACTTCATATTATGTTATTTCTGATACGAACAGGTTTTTGACGTTTTCATTCATTACCATGTGTTATGACTTACGATAACATTAAAAATTGCAATTTCAAAGTTTTTTGGTACTCATTAGAGTGCATAAAGGTTGCTCATATATTCTGAATTCTAAAGTGAGTGCTGACGAACAGTCCCTAACCTTCCACAGTTCTTATTGCTTCATATGACACAACAGAGACTGCTTCATTGGTCTAGTAGTTGTAGTAGTGCGACTGCTGATCATGAGGTCCTGGGTTCGAATCCCGGGTCGGGCCAAAAAATCAATTATTGAGTTTTTCCATCAGGATATTCTCAGTAGCTGCACGGAGTTGGCAGTGTCTCATCCCCGTGCCTCGGAAAGCACGTAAAGCCGTTGCTTCTTCCCCTTCTCTTCTGCCCCTGATCTCTCTCTGGTCGTGTCAGTTTAACGTCCCATCTGATTGTGAGAGTGAGGAAATAGAGTGCACCTGTGCTTGCGCATACACTTGGGCTCTACAATTCTGTCCTGCGCAAATGGCTATGTCTTCGCTGAGGCTGGTCGCCGTGACCGTAATTCGGTGTCGTGGAGGACATTATGACATAACACACATCATATTCTTCATTACAGCCTATGAAAAATCCACTGCTGAATATAAGCCTCCCCCATAGATGGACTCGTAGCGGGCTAGAGTATATTTGTTACAGTTGTCACACATATAGCTGGCAAGTTGGCAACATCAATATTTTATTATTGGTAAAAGAAAGATATTGCTGCCCATGTCCCTGTTTCATTTCACTCTGTCGACTATTACGACATCCACTGATACTGAATTTTTTTACTCTATATTTATAATATAATATAGTCCTTAATTCTGAAATACAAGGTTGAAAGTTGCATATCAAGAGAGTTTTGGTTTAATGATCTGAGGTACACTAGATAAGTGTAGCACAACTGTCTCTGACTGGTACCCCAGAGATAGCAAATGTAATAGAAGACGTCAATAAACGACATGAGTGAATGACTTAAAACTCACGACTGGATATCATTGGAAAAGGGTAGTGCAAGACTGAATCTAGTGAAAATGTTAGAGGAGGCCAATGTCAGTGCTGAATTGCAGGATATTTCATAAAATATTTATAAATGTTGTACAAAAAAAAAAACGACGGGTTGCACTCCGGAAGTGCCGGCAGAAGTGAAAACTTGAATATTAACGTTGTGCATTTTTGATATTTTGGAATGGTTAGGGAATAATTTTGCACGAATTGCTTTAATTATCAGTATAAAAGTACTATCATTTATGTGGTAGAATACAATATTTATTTATTGCGCTATCGTACACAAACATGACAATTTATATTACATTCGCGCAAGCGCCCTGCGCCGCCTAAACGAAACAGCAGGCCGCCGCGCAGTAGAATGAGAGGGCGATAGTTCCTCTCCTACGCCGTCCGTCTTACGCATTTTCGATCAGGTCACGTGTCCTGACGCGAGTTTAACATTTTTTACCCATTACAAAAAAAGTGTACAACGCCGCTAAAGAAGTTTTCACTTCAAAAATATTTCTAATTACATTACGAGTATGAATTTGTTCCATCTATTGCAGTTAATGAAGCCAGCTTACCAAACATGCCTGGAGAAAGGCATGGAGCACGCAGCGGCGGCGGCGGCCGAGCGCACCCTCGGGCCCGCCGCGCCCGGCGCCAGCGCCAACGGCAAACACAAGCAATTGTGATGCCGCACCACCAACATCCGACACGCCCTGCACAAAAGTGCGGGGCTTGTGTGCAGAACTATTGTGAACTGCGACCTGTGTGATCTAGAAAATGTGTTCGATGTAAGACAATTCTAGTGAATAAAACTAATGACGCGTTAAAAAGCAATAACGTCACTTGAGTCATTACATGTTTGCTCAGAATGCTACAAGTGGAATATATTATACAATATGTGATATTAAATACTTGAAATAATTTTAACGCTCTCTTGCTATTCCATATTTCAAATTTTGATTACACATATCTAACGGTAAGAGCTTATTTGAAGTTAAAGAAAATTTGGAGTTACAATGAGCAAGATTATGTTACATTGGAGTGAAGATACATGCACGGGTGTGTATAGAAGTGTTTTGAGTCGTCTGTAAATGTAGTTACGGCATAGTGACAAAATATTTGTAATATTGAAACAATCAGTAGTTGAAATGGTAGTTATAACAGAGTAACTATATATATTTTAGACTAATTGTTTTGTTTTAAATTTTATAGTAACGGCTGTCATCGGTGGGGGATTGTTCCGTTTGATTTGTGTAATAGTACAGCTGTGTAAACAAATTCAATTTAGGATTAGTTGTGTATTTATATTGTTCGATTAATCTGACTTGAGCTTTTTTTATCTATTTTTAAAGTTGCTTGTATTCTTTGGATATTTGGACTCGAAAACAATATCTGCATGCTTGTATATTGTCGATTAGAAAAGTGGCCTGTTTTATTTTATTTACAGTCAATTTTTTTGAAATGTCGAATATTATTAATGTTTTAAATAGCATTAATGTAACTCGGCAGGTTTTGCATTGCTTGCCATTGCAATACTGTGCAAAATAGCTCAAAATGGAAGTTTTAATTTTTGCATTATAGTTTCGAAGTTAAATTGCAAAAACAATAAAAATATTGGTATCCCTTGACTCATTATCTATTAATGGGCCAAAAGAAACCTTTTTTATACATTTGATGTTTGTAGGGCAGTCTGTAAATTATAATTAACACCTATAGTTATAACGTAAATCATGTAATTCAAGTTAAGTATTCAAGATCACATTTTTAAATATTTAATGCTGTTGCACAAATAACCAAATGTTCTATCAATAATGTTTTATCAAAATTAATGATCACTTGTTGAGTTGCACATTTGTTAGCATGTACTTAAAGCAGTTTTAGAAACATATTGTTAAGATATAAATACTCTGCTTGTAATTATACCGGTTTTAGTGACAGAAATATACTTTGTATATAAATATTTTTCTAATACCAAATCATCTGAAACTTTTGTATTGTATAAATTTTTAGTAAATGTGCCAATATGTTTGTATTGATGTGAAAAATTTTCGGAGTGTTTTTCTGTAGGATGTCATCATGGGAAGGAAAAAATTACATTTGTTGTTGATTTCATAGTTTATTCCATTGTTTGTTGCATCAATATCTTTTGTGCGGCTTTGTCGGTAACCCATATTTCTGTTATCAATTTATAAATGTTTCAACCACACCTTGATAGCAATATTCACCTGTTATTACTTCTGTCTATGTATATGCGGAGCAGTATCGCCGATTGTGGCAATTGCTTTGCACCAATATTAATCTACATATTAACAAACAGACGGTTATATTATTCTATAGTAATATACATTATTTTTAAAATTTTACTCTTGTCCTACCGGCTCGGAAAGAATTGTTATTGTGGTGTCTATTTGTTGTAATTTACAGTTGTCACAATATAAACTGAGGTTGTGACTTCCATCTTTTTATATTTTAGCTGTATTAACATAGTATGTGAGTGAAGATTTATAGGCCAATATAAAGCAGATAATCATGTATATAAATAGATTATAAATAAAAACATCAAAAGCGTAATAGTACTTTAATCAAATCAAGGCAAATAAAAACTACCAAAACTGATAAGACTATCCGAGTAAATTTTTGTTTAAATAAAATAAAAAATGTTGTCATATGGGTCGATTTAAAACAAGTAAATAATCTTTTATTATGGATAAATATTTAATATGTAACTTATTGGGAGGCACTTAATAACTATAGTATAATACTTCACAAAAATATGACTAGTTATATTTTCATTACTAAGTATGCATTTAGTTGTTAGATAATCTTAAATCCTTCGCATACTCTGTCAATTTTAATAAGTTGCAATATATTATACCCCAGTTACATCAATTTCTGCACAAAACCAGTTCATTATCTAAACCTTTTTTATTTTCCTACTTGTTATATATAATAAATGATTATTTGTTATTTTAAAATAATTTATAATTTTTATCGTTAAATATTCTATACTTATTAAACGTTTTTAAAATGACTAAGGGCTGATTTTTCAGTCATTAAATTGAAATTATAGTTCTTTTTCCTGATCCCATCCCAAGTCATTTGGGGTTGGCATGTATTCCATTCTACTCTGTTAGTAGTCATCTCTTCACTTCATCTTTCGTTAGGCCTCCCTCTACGCTTATATCTATTCACTTTCATAGCCAACACTCTTGTTATTACATTTAAGTACTTCCCTTGGTGGTTGGGCGACGGGCCTAGGGGTTCCTGAGTTCGATTCCCAGGTCGGGCCTTGACCCTATTATGCGAGATGTTACTAGGTGGACTGTATGTGCGGTTTCCTGATACCCCAAAACAAGATTGCTGACATGGCACGCGACAGCCTTGGACAATGCACTCGCTCTTCCAGATCTATTTCTTCACCAGGGTCGAGAGGAAGGTCTACTTGAGCCGACAGGAGAGAAAATGTGACGGGAGAACAAGCAAACAAAAAAGGCTTCAAGTAAACAAAAGAAAATAAAAGGGAAAACGCACTTATCGGGGTGGAGTTCCTGATGACGCGGACGACGCTTCTGTTCTGGTGGTTCGTTGGAAGAGCGCGGTGCGCGACGATTACTCACATCTGCCGAGGACTTCTCGATCACAGAGATGCGATCGAAACTAGCGGTGCGTTGCGGGCGCCCTGCCCCCTTTATTGGGTCGGCCATCTTACCACTTCATCTCGGTGGGGCGCGCGTTTCCATTGGCCGAAAAGTTAAAACTTGGCATCACATTTTAGACCCCCCCCCCCCCTTCAGTGCGTGAGGAAGGAATGTGCATACGGGAAGGACAGGCACTGATAATATACCCCCGAACAAAATTATAAAAATACCCGATATTCTTTTTCCGCGCAACCACTTTGCATATTTTTATATGCATAGTTCTATTCATAAAATAGTCAATTCAATTGTTTCACATTTATATTGAGGCAGATAAGGTAAGAGAGGAGGCCAGTGCCTAGCTTAGGAAATATATATATATATATATATATATATATATATATATATATATATATATATATATATATATATATATATATATATATATATATATACGCAGTGATTTATATTTTTTACTTTAGGTTATAATTTATTTGATGGATAACTTAAAGCTTCGAAAATCAGCCCTTCGTATAATCAAATCACACTTTTAGATCATGACGAGAATTATAATTTGAAAGATCAAAGTTAATGTGATATATTATGGTGGATTCATGGCGGTTTTGATGTTTTTAATAATATACTTTCGATGATTTTACGAAACACAAAATCGAATACAAGTTATGCGTGTTAGTATTGACGTTATAAAAATTAGACTAAAAAGTAGCTGATAATTTTTAATTTGTTGCAATTACAGATTTTAATAATCAAGTAGATTATATTCGATTGTACATATTAAACTGTTGTTATAATATGTTGTAAAATTCGTATTTTCTGTTTTCTAAGTATGTAGAGCTGTCTCTTTCATCAATAATGTCTAGCAATAGCAAAGCTTGTATTGAATAATGTTAAAAACTCTGATGATGTCCCAATATTTTCTTCAAATTTAGTCTTATAATGAACTCGTAAGAGCTCCCTCTCAAAAATTCACATTGTCTAAAGAGGACAATTAAAAATATATCCAAATAATCAGTTTAAAATCGGTAAAAAATCTATACTTTGCTTTAGCAAAATTTTCGAACTATTCGAGCCTCTTATTATTGCCTATTTAGTGCCATAAACTTGCGTTCAGACACAACACTGGTCCCTAAGTCGCGAATATATGCGATTCTTAAACGCAGTGTAGTGAATGAACTCGTTAATTATAATTCGTGAGGCAGATATACACTCCGTCATACTAAATTAATGTTATTAGTGATTCAAAAAGTTGTCTAAGTGACAGTAAATTATATCAACTTTGTCATAAAACGTTTATCATGCATTTATCAATAAAAAAAGTCTCTTGTTTAAAATACCGAGCTTTATCTATTTTCTTTATTCGCATCTGTCTTTAAAAAGGCATGTGTAGTTTATGAGACCTGTATACTTTGTTTTAATATGCCCGTGATGACAATAATTATAAACTTGGCGTCGCCATCGAATTCCAAGATGGCGACATCGGCCCGCGCGCGCATTTGTATGACGCGTCCGTAAATTGGTTTTGGTTTAGTCGTTAGTGGAATAACAATGTAAAATACAATAAAATTCTTATTTTACTCTTCATTCTTTTATTTCAAAATATAACACGAGCTGTTACCAATGCAGTGACGAGCGCCCAGCTTTCATATTTATAAATGTTACAATTATGTACATTAGTAATTTCGGCGCCAAATCTTAATTATTTAATTAGTTTTAATATTTTTTAATTCTCTTTATTACATTTTCGTTGATCGTTGAATGCAACACTACAATATTTTTAGGTTAAGGTAATAAAGGGTAAACCCCTTACATACTGAGTTCTAAGGTCAAAATCCCAACTTTTAACTTTCCTTCCCTCTAGACAAGCCATTTGAGCCTGTTGTGCCTTTTAAAACATCCTATTTTATAGAAAAAAATCTTATTTACAATATATCACTTGCTTCTATTCCTTAAAAAAAGTAATATATTTGTGTCAAAAATGCATAAAAAATATTTGATATTTAATGCTATTCTTTTTTGTGGTCATGTTCTGTTGACATTGCTTCCGGAAGCCTTCCCGATGGTGATATATTTTGGATAATCTGCAAAATAAATTTTAACGAATTATAGAATTAATATGTATGTAGATATAAATTATGTAATAACACATTTACCATAACCTCATTTTATTTCTGTGTATTATAAGTTTTTTTTTTTCACTAGTCCATATTTTATTAATTTTTGAAAATATTTCTTCTACTGGATCGTTACTACCAGCCAGACATAAAATGTACTCAATTATACTAAAATTCGTATACGTGAATATTTGCTTGGAAGTGTTTAGATACTTTCATTCAATCTAAATTAGTTTAAAAATGTAACTTTTCGAACGTGTCAATTGAACGTGTTAGTCACGCTGCAGCTATGGCTGTTATTTATTATTTTCTGTGGTTATTGTTAAAGTACGGATGGTTCGGCTCGACCGGGGTAGGAACCACGCTCTCACAGAATACCAGCGCAAAATAGCTCAATGCGACTATTTTGTATGGTGAGTGTAGATAACCGGAGACCATTTTTTCTAGTAACGAGGTCTTCTATTATAGTCCTCAGGGGCAAAGCGCCAACATTTTGAATATGGAGGGTCGAAAGAGACTAAATGGTTAGTAAATATCACATCGTCGCAATTTTCTTTTCCTAACTTGAAAGAGATACTACCTACGGTTTAAACGAGGTGGATTGATAAGGAACATTTTTCGCCTTTCACACACTCGAAAAAAGATTTTCCGGTTTCAGAATATTTTTAAACACCTTTGTATTGTTAAAGATATTATATATTTTTTGTCACGTAATAAATAATATAGAAAGTCAAAGAAATTATTATCCAAAAAGTGTTTCGCCTTTTCTGTACGTTTTTGTTTTTTTTTCTTCTTCTTTGAATTATATTTTTAATGAAGGGTTCCATGAACCAGATTGACTTTAACTTACACGAATAGTACTCTTAATAAGTTTGTATCTAATAAAAAAAAAAAAAAAAAAAAAAAATTTAAGGTACTATTTTATCTTGGTTCACTGCATGCTTTTACACAATTCCGATCGTTGCGCAGTATTACTCGCATACCGTCGTGTGATATATATTTACCTATAATATATATTGTTTGACATATATTATATATTGTTGTTTCGAGAGTATGATGGGCGAAAAATGGTCCTCATACCCCACCTCCTTTCTCACGTTATTGCCTAACTGTTGACCTGCTCCGTTAGATTTGACGGAAATATCGATCGATTATATGGCAACATTAAACAACATTGATAAACGAGCACACAATCCACCTGATGGCAAGTGGATGCTGTGTCCCATAGACATGTACATTTCTCCTCTATTAAGAGGAGTATTAAAAAAAACGCGAAAAATTACAAGGTTTCCTCGTTAAAATTATATGTTTTTCGTTCGTGCTAGTGAAATAACAATTACTTGGTACAAATAGTTCTTTTTATCTACAATATAAGCTCAGAGCAAATTTTAGATAACTTATTTATTTATTTAGTAATAACCATTCTTCTGATGCATGTCAATAATAAAAAAAAACAAAAATATACTACTTACATAATTCCGTACCGTCCTCGCTATTTTGTCCAGCTCTTCACTGATATCCCGCAGCTGGCCCGTAAACCTGAAATATAAATTACGAGGTTACTGTATAATCTTAATTTTTTTTATCGTTATACATAAATTTAATATAAACTCGGATGAAAGTTATTTAATTTTTTATAGTGCATTATGAAGTTGTTACGTTGAAATATTTTAATTGTAAGCATTAAAATATTAATGCATATTTATGTTTGAAGTTAATATTTTTAAATTTAATATAATAATTATTATATTATATTAAAATTAGTATGCTGTGCTGGGGTGACACAACGCAACACATCTTTGGACCACAGTGGCCACTTACCATCAAGTTGACTCGTAAGTTCGTTTGTCACGTTAGTATCCTAAAAAAAGGTATCTTGTGTTATGTATATTATTGTTTTTTGTTTTTGTTTTCTCCAAACTTTTTTGAATTTGATATAAGGTGCGTTGGGGTAATACCGGACGATTTTCGACTAGTTAGAGTCGGGCAAAACCTTTATTTCCTCGACATCCATATACGTCAGATTACTGTAACAATAAATATCAAACTTACGTAGGTAGAAATTTTTCAAGGAATAATCTTAATTACTTTAATTATTTGTGATTAATCGTTAAACAATTTTACTTTTCAAAACTCAACAGTTTCTGCTTAAAACGTGTGCGAAGACAAGGCATAATTTTTTATATGCATGATGAAGAATTGGCCATCAAGGGATAAGACCGGACATCGCTAAAAATCGCAAATAAAAGTGATAGGGAAAGACCGGACGGACGAAAAAAATACAAAAATTACCTTGTTTTATAAAATACTGCCCACTTTTCGGAGCGACTGGCTGAAACTTGGGGTCGGGGCAGAATTAAATGGAGTCTTGTACCATATTGCTAGCTTTCAAAAATATAGCATAATTCACCGGAAATTTGAATTTTATGGTCTTACCCCATTACCGATCTTACCCCAATGCACTATATTCATAATGAGTTATCATTAGAAAACGCCAATGCGCATACTAGGACACCTAATCTTCTTCAAACGTGTAAACAAGAGCAAGTTTTTCATGGGGATATATTCCAGAACGATGGACAATTGTAATAGTTCTATTTATACCTAAGGCTGGTAGAAAGGACTGGGCTTTACCAGTCCATTAGACCTATAAGCGTATCTTCCTTTCTTCTTAAGACACTGTAAAAGGTTATAGATAGATATATAATCGATGTAGCTCTAGCTACGATGCCAGCAGCATACAACCAGCATGCTTACCGCAGAGGCAAATATACAGAAACAGCCCTGATCAGTGTTATTGACAGGGTCGAAAAAGCACTGTGCACAATAGTTCCTTGTGCCTTTCTAGATATTGAGGGCGCTTTCGACAGGAGCCCCACATCACTGCTGATTGGGGGCCAGACATCTTAAAATATTGACCTCACAACCTTCACGTGGGTGAAGTCGATGCTCTCAAACAGAAAGGCGAAAATAGCGCTGTTTCAAACTTTGATTGAGGTTGCAACTACAAGAGGCGGCCCACAAAGAGGTGTTTTGTGACCCCTTCTTTCTACTCTTGCGGTTGACCACCTATTGTACAAGACGGCAGACCTTCGCATTGACACACTGGGTTATGCCTATGATCTTGTGATCATTGCGTGGGACTTTTGCCAAAGTACTTTATTGTTAATCATACAAAGAGCCCTAAACACCATAAATAACTGGTGTAGGGATAACAGTTTATCAGTTAATGCTGATAAAACTGTTATAATACCCTTTACCAAAGAGAGACGGTTGGACAAATTAGTCTAACCAAAACTTCAATGGTAAAGAAGTACTATTTTCCACTGAAGTTAAGTACTTGGGCGTAACAATCGACCAAAAACTAACGTGGAACTCTCACCTTAGCAACGTATGCCATAAGGCATAAATTGCTTTAGTACGTGCAGTCGTTTGGTCGGGAACAACTGGGGCCCCCCAGTACGGTCCTATGGCTATACAGCAGCATGGTGAGGCAGTTTTTACCTACGCCTCTATTGTCTGGTGTAACAAGGCCAACCAAAAGACGACTACGGACAGACTAAATAGTTTACAAAGGACTGCCTGCTTAATGACAACTGGAGCATTGCGATCATCGCCTGAAGCGACTCTTAATGCACTTCTATGCCTAATGCCCCTTGATCTTTATCTAGACAAGGAGGCGAGGGCTCGTTTGTATAGGATTAAAACCCAGGGCGGTCTGAGCTTGCTTTCCTACAGATTGAGATCCATGCTCGCACCGGTCTTATGCATGATCTCAGATATCATGCGTCCACTATACACTTCTAATAAAAAGTATATAGTGGAACTACCCTTCAGAGAAAACTGGCTGAATAGCCAGGTTATCTGTGAGATCGGTAGCCTCACATGGTATACCGATTGGTCCTCGACGTAGGCTTTGGAATTAATGGGGAACGTCCCAAATAAAAGCTTAGTATGAATTTGGTTAGATTCTCCTCTATCTTCCAGGCAGAATTTTTCACCATACTTCAGTTTGCGGAAATCAATTTGCAAAAACACTACTTCAACCATATAATTTATATAAACTTTGATAGTCAATCAGCACTGCTAGCGCTGAGGTCAAACTTAGTGAACTCGAAGTTAGTGGGGTACTGCGTGAACCGTCTAAACTCCCTGAGATGTTAAACAGCGTCGTCTTAAAATGTGTTCCGGGTCACGCGGACTTTGTAGGCAATGAACTAGCCGACAAACTCGTACGAGAGGGCTCAAAGAGTACACAAAATCCGACCTATTTTGTGAAATCTCAAAAAGCCTAGCCCGATTGAAGTCTTGGGATTAGGTAAAAATAAATTGCGCATTCTGGCAAGAGCCTTAACTGAACACTGTTGTCTTAAAAAGCACATGTCTAGCCTGGGACCAAGCAACTCAAGGATGTGTCGGTTCCGTTACATAACGGAAGAAACGCCTCTGCACATAGTAACTGATTGCGAACCCTTAATGTGCAAACGTAACACTCATCTGAGAAACTATATACTCTATCCAGAAGAAGTAAAATTGCTCACAGCTAAGCAACTCCTTCTATTCATTGAAGACATAGAGCTTAGCAGTGAACTATAGCCATAGCAGCGATCACAATAGGTATTTTAGGTCGCAGTGATACTGGTCTCTTTTCCGAGACCAGCATAGCTGCTCGCAAATAATAAAAAATAAAACTACAGAACACTATGTGCGAACTTCAAGCGAAACCGTGCAACTGTGAAGTGCTTATTTCGCGGTATTTTCTCGCAGCGACGTTGCGCGCGTATCACGTAGTAACAAACAAGCACACAGTCCACTGTCCACATGATTGTAAGTGTAGATGCTACGGTCTACACCTGTCATCGATTAAGAATGAAATCAGTAAAAAAAGGTCTGCGGTTCTTTACACTCGCCATACAAAAACAGCAGCATTAAGCTGCTATTTCACGCTGATGTTCTGTGAGAGCGATCCCCGGTCGAGCCGACTTATTCGTGCTATAACCAACGTGTAAATATAACGACTAATTCAGGGTTTCCAAATTTAAAAAAGGTTCGTTTTCGTTTAAGAGTCGTTTTGCAGTAAATAAAGTGCATGTACATTAAATCCATTTCTACCTACATCTGAAAATTACAACAAGAATATTTTCAAGAGATGGAAACATATTTGTAATTTTCAGATATAGAATGTCTAAGAATGCACTTACGAGCACAGAGTCCACCTGATGGTAAGTGGTTGTTGTAGCCCATAGAAATCTACACGTATCCTCGATTACGAATAAAATGCAGATGTGTTGTCACCCGTGAGAACTAAAATGGAATGCCTCGATTCCAGTAAAATGGTTCTCCGGATCTCTACACTCACCACACGAAATACAGCAGTATTAAGCTACTATTTGACGCTGGTTCTGTGAGAGCGTGGTCCTTCCTCGGTTGAGCCGACCCATTCGTGCTACAACTATATTGCTAATATAGCTGCAGCATACCACATAAAAACTCACACTATATCTCGGAGATGTAATAAGTGCTAAACAATTGAACATCTCACGAACATCACTGATGCGAATTGTGAATAAAGATTTGAATTTACACGCTTACAAGGTTCAATTGACTCAAGAGCTGAAGTCTACTGACCAATTCAAGCGTCGTCGATGCGCCGAATGGTTGGTTGAACAGACAGAAGTGAATGGTGACTTTACAAAGAAGATCATTTTCAGCGACGAGGCACACTTTCACCTCAGTGGATTCGTTAACAAGCAGAATTGCCGTATTCGGGCAAATAAAAATCCACAAGTGTTTGTTGAAAAGCCGATGCATCCACAAAGATTGACTGTTTGGTGCGGTTTATGGGCTGGCGACGTCATCGGGCCGTATTTCTTCGAAAATGAGTTCGGCCAAGCAGTTACCGTGAATGGTGTTCGCTATCGCGATATGATAACGGACTTTTTGTGGCCAGAAATTGAGGGTATGGACCTGAACGATATGTGGTTCCAACAGGACGGTGTCACTTGCCACACAGCCAACGAAACAATGGATTTTGCGCGAGAAATTCAATGGCCGTGTTATCCCACGTTGTGTCGATATTAATTGGCCGCCACGATCATATTATATGACAATGTTGGACCTAAAAAAATAAAAATAAAACCTCAAAGAAGCCTAGTTTCTTTGGGGTTATTTAAAGGAAAAAGTGTTCGTCGATAAGCCAAGGAAAATTCAAGAGCTAAAGGATGAGATAATTCGGCACATTATAACGACATTGAACTTCAATTATGTTTCAGAGACATTGAAAATATGGACATCTGATAAAAGTATGCCACCGAAAAACCGTGATGAGCATTTGGCCTATGTTTTGTTTCATGTCATAGTTCCTTCTATCATAATAAAAAATATTAAGGTAATTCTTTGAAAACTTTTTGTATTATTTACAATTAACATCGTGCGTTTTGGTTGGACCACCCTATACCTTAATATTTAGATTTCTGTGAATAAGACGAATCGTTAAGGACAACGAAACGTTTCTTAATAAATCGGGTATATAAGTATGGAGCGGCCACTAATATCTAATAAAATATTATATAAATAAAATATTCGACGGCTCCGTGATGCAGTGGCTTAGCAATAAGTTGCAGCGCTACCTAGGCTGCACTAAAAGTATCGGGAATGGAATATTTCCACTGTTCCTGTCATATGAAAATCTTTTTAATTGAAAACTCCCTGGTTTTTAAAATCGAATACCATTTATTTATTTAAAAAAAAAGATTCTCTGTCCAGGTTTTGTCAAACTTGTTTAGTCGTTGAGAAAATGGAATCGACTCGAGACAATTCAAGAGGGATGACTTATTATGACTTTCGAAGTGTTTTAACACAAAAACAGTGTGTTGACCGGATGATTTCTGCATTTGGTGATGAAGCCCCATCCAAAACCACAATTTATCGCTGGTTTGCTGAATTTCAACGTGGACGTGTCAATCTCAGTGATGATCCCCGTCAAGGTCGTCCAAAAACTGCGGTCACCGAAAAAAACGTTGATGCTGTGCGTAAGCTGATTGAGGAAGATCGACATGTGACATACCGCGAAATTCAGGCAACTTTAGACATTGGCATGAGTCAAATACAAATAATCTTGCATGAACAATTAGGTGTAAAAAAGTTGTTTTCCCGATGGATACCGCATTCGCTCTGTGAAGAGCAACGGTATCCATCGGGAAAACAACTTTACTTGGTACGTCAGAACTCTCGAAATATTCCACGCAGGATCCTCAAATGTTGTATACAACATCGTATCAGGTGACGAATCCTGGATATAAGCGTACGAACCCGAAACAAAAAACCAGTCACGAGTTTGGGTGTTCGAAAATGAGTTAAAGCCAACAAAAATTGTTCGTTCACGGAATGTTGCAAAAAAAAATGGTGGCCACGTTTGTCTCCAAAACCGGCCATGTTACGACTATTCCTCTTGAAGGACAAAGAACGGTTAATGCAAAATGGTATGCTAGCATTTGTTTGCCACAGGTCGTTTCTGAACTCCGTAAAGAGAACTGCAACCGCCGCATCATCCTCCATCACGACAATGCGAGTTCTCACAACGCACACAGAACAAAAGAGTTTTTAGAGCAAGAAAACATAGAATTATTAGACTATCCGCCGTACAGCCCCGACCTAAGCCCTAATGATTTCTATACTTTCCCTAAAATAAAACTCATTACCAAAAGCCAAAAAACCGCTTTAGACCCCAACTTCGGAATGGAATGGTTGCTTCAATGATTGGTCCCATCTTATGGAAAAATGTGTCAAATTTCGCGAAGAATACTTCGAAAAGCAATAAATACATTTTTAAATAGTAATGTTGTGTCACTTCCTAAATTCCCGAAATTTTCAGTGCCGCCCTCGTATGGGCCGCGGGTTCGAATACCGCCTGGAACAAGTATTTGTATGGCCTACAAATAATTGTTCTGGGTTTGGATGTTTGCCCTTGTGAAATGTATGTATGTAAACTGCTCCTACGATACAGAAGTAAATCCTAGTGATGAGGTAAAGTTTAAAAAAATTATATATTTTAACTAGAGAGGTAAATTTATAATTGAGAGGTATATTAATTTTATTTAGTTACTAGTATAGTTGTAGCACGAATGGGTCGACTCGACCGGGGAAGGACCACGCTCTCACAGAATACCAGCGTAAAATAGTAGCTTAATGCTGCTGTGTTCCGTATGCTGAATGTAGAGAACCGGAGACCCTTTTTGCTGGAAATGAGGCATTTCATCTTAGTCCTCACGGGTGACAACGCATCTGCATTTTAAATCACATACGGAGATAGATGTAGATGTCTATGGACCACAGCAACCACTTACCATCAGGTGGACTGTGTGCTCGTTTGTCACCCTATCCTATAAAAATAAAAAAGTACCTGCTATAACCCCAGATGGAGAGCATGACGAAGGCTGCAAGCGACAGCAGGTGGCCGACGAGTCTCAGCGGCCGAATTCCCACGGAGTCCGCCACCATGCTCACCACGAACCCCACCACCAGCACCGCAGCGAACACCACCGGCGTGCCGATCATATTCATTATGTTCTTGCTTTCGTTTTGAGCGCGCAGCCTTTCGAAGTATTCTTCTAGTTCCTATTAATGAAAGAAGGGATAAAGGCTTATTGCAAACCTATGTTTCAACAGAACGGCCTTCACTCCGCTTATTCTAAATGTCTATACGTTACGTGGGTTGACAGTCTTGTTGTCCGTGCGAATGTCGATCATAAGGTCCCGGGGGTTCGAATCTCGGGTCTGATCAAAATCAGTTCTTGAGTTTTTCTGTCAAGATATTCTCAGCAGTAACCCCGAGTCAAGGAGTTGGCAGTGTTCCCGTGTCTAGTAAAGCCGTTGTTCTGCTCTTGATCTTCCGGTCGGTTTGGTAGCCGTCCTATCAGACTATGAGAATAAGGGAGTGGAGTGTACCTCTGTTCACACATTCATGTGCTACTATCCTGTATCACAGACATCTTTTCCTCTTTTCTAATTCTAAATCCTACCCAGGTAGCTAACCCATTAAGACTGACCGCTCTGACCAAACTCCAGTCTTTAAAATTATTAGTATTATTATGAGATTACTATTGTAGTGGGGTTCGAAGTATTTTGGTCTTAAACCTTGCAATTTCGCCAATTTAATTTGTACCGTCTATTATTCGTCACCGATCTTGTAAGAATGTAAGATTGAACAAACATGTAAGATAGACTACTTGTGTAAGAATGTAAGATTGAACAAACATGTAAGATAGACTACTTGTGTAAGAATGTAAGATTGAACAAACATGTAAGATAGACTACTTGTGTAAGAATGTAAGATTGAACAAACATGTAAGATAGACTACTCGTAAGAATACATCTCAATTAGTTGGTTCTTGTTTCAATGTTGATGTGTGCCCATCACCTTGAGGTATCGGTCTTGCGATTCACGAGTGCGGTCGACCTGGATGTGTTGTCCGCTCGCGACTAACCGCTCCGCCAGGCACGCACAGTCACACTGCGCATGTACATGTCGAACCACATCCAAAGGTTGGCCGCACACGTGAATCGCAAGAACTATACGAAAGGTGCTAAAACTAAAGAAACTGCTCCATCTTAACCTTGATTTTCATGTCATCCAACATTGTATTAAATTTCTCGATGTGAAAACGTATCTAAATTGACTAGTCCATATAAGTCTCGCCTTCGCGTCGTCTCCTCTCTTTTGACGTCAGTAGAAGGCTTAAAGTTCCATTGTTAAATCTACATATCTGATACACCTGGTTCTTACAACTCTAGGCTTTTTCTTCACCACCTATATTCATAAGAGTGAAAGCAGTAGAATACTACTGCTTGAGTAAAATCCAGCTGCAAAGTCCACATATCACAGTCAGCGTACCTTGGCTACACTGGGTACACATTGGAGAATAATTTCCGTCAGCACGCCGGAGTTTGCGTTTACATCCGCAACGACATCTGCTGTAAGCGTCTCCGTCACCTTGAAGACCCCGCTTTCTATACGATCTGGGTATTAATAGACACGGGAATGGATAAAATTATTTATTCTTGTGTCTAACGATCGCACAGCTGCCAAACAACTATAAGACCTCAGACCTGATAGTATACCAGCTATAGTTCTAAAGGTCTGTGCACCAGAGTTGTCTCCTGTGTTGACGCGCTTGTTCCGCCTCTCATGCAGGACTGGAATAGTGCCCAAATTTTGGAAGCTGGCCAACGTGCAGCTTGTGCCTAAAAAAGGTAGCCGTGCCGACCCTGCCAACTATGCCAGCTACAAGATCATGGAGCGTATATTGAACGTCCGCTTAATGGCATATCTAGAACAGAATGACCTTAGTAATCCGCAAAAAGAGTTTCGCCGAAATCGGTCTGCTGAGGACCTTCTAGCGTATGCCATTAGAGAACGGTGGGGAAGCACTTATTGTTTCCCTTGATATCTCGAAAGCCTTTGACAGAGTTTGGCACGCTAGCCTTCTGGGTAAGCTTCCAGCGTACGGCTTATCCCCTGGTCTAATTAAATGGGTAAAGGACTTTCTGAGTGAACAGTCACTAGGGGTCGTCGTCGATGGCTGCTCATCCAATCATGTGGCAACGGAAGCTGATGTTCCTCAGGGGTCCGTTCTCTCCGCAACTCTCTTCCTGCTGCATATTAATAATCTGCTTCTGCCGGTATCTACGGGTACGCAGACGATAGCACAGTTGTGCAGAGATACGAACAAAGTGCCCGGGCCAGTCGGAATTAAACCCAGTCCCAAAGAAAAGCTATGGTTGAGCGTGTGAATCTCAGACTACAGACAGTCTCCAAATGGGGCGATGGCAATCTCGTGAGATTTAACACCTCCAAAAACAAAAGCGTGTCTTTTTGTCACTAATAGGATCCCGCTTAGCCTGGCTCCTACTTTCCATGAAATTATCCTTGGAGTACACTGACCTCCTTCAGTTGTTAGGGGTTGCATTTTCTCCGAATCTCAATTATGGGCGGTTCATTGAGTTCAGAGCCAAAGCAGCCGCAAGGAAACTTGGGTGTCCTTGCAAGGGTGCGGCGGTACTTCACTCCGGGACAGCTTCTTACCTTGTATACTACCACTACCACCGCTACCATCTGGATACGGCGAAGCCCCTCATTTACCAAGACTTCTCCAGCTGATATTTCGTTTCCTTCCTAACCGGGGTACAAATTAGAACATTCCTTTTCCCCCTCATACGTCAAGAGGACATCTGTTTCACCTCAAGTCTTGAAGGTATTGACCTGTCCATCCTACGGCTGCGCGTAGACAGCGACGACCATTCCCGCGTCTACGGGTGCCTCTATAGACCGACTCATCGACCACGTCCAAATGGCTACAGATTCCGTGCTACAGCAGATCCCATCCGCAGAAATCGTGATCTTTGGCGATTTTAACGCCCACCATGCCGAATGGCTTGGTTCAAGCTTAACCGATCATGTGGGGAGATCTGTTTATGACTTTGCTTTGGCATATGGTCTGTGACAACTGGTTACTGCGTCTACGCGAATTCCGGATATAGAAGATCCTACACCTTCCCTATTGAACCTTCTGCTGACCTCTTATCCCGGATATTAGGCTTCCGTCGGCGCCCCTTTAGGCTCGTCGGACCATTGTCTTGTTCGGAGTGTGGTGCCAGTCACATTAACGTCGCGGTTGCAGTATGCAGGCTGCCGCCGTGTTTGGCACTATAGGTCGGCTGATTGGGATGGAATGGTCGTGTGATGGTCTTTTCTTTGCATCCTACCCTTGGGAGCGTAGTAGTAGTGTCACCAACGCAGTTTCTTCTGCATATCAATGATATGTTGCAAACTGGTACATTCATTGCTATGGAGACGATAGCACTGGTTATGCCTTATACACCGGGCGTGCCGATATTTCTCGGGAAATCGTCGCCGAGTACCGGGACAAACCTGTGTCTGAAGTCGAGTGTTTGATTAACAAAAGTCTCGGATTGAGGACGACTAAATCTAGTCCAATTCAATCCCCAGAAGTCACAAGTTTGCGCGTTAACCGCTAAAAAGAACCCATTTGTCGTACCTCCTCAGTTTGAAGGCACTCCCCTTGCTGCCTCAGCTAGCATCGGAATTCTCGGCCTCGACATATCGAATAGTGTGCAGTTTTGTGGTCACTTGGAGGGGAAGGCCAAATTGGCCTCCAAAAAGTTTGACGTTCTCAGCAGAGCGAGTATTTCATGCCGGCGCATCGCTTGCAACTTTACAAAGCGCAAGTCCGGCCTCACATGGAATACTGTTCTCATCTCTGGGCCGGGGCACTCCAGTGCCAGCTCCTTCCACTTGACCGCATCCAGCGCAGAGCAATTCGAATCGTCGACTTTCTGATCGGCTCGATTCACTAGCGCTACGTAGGGATGTTGCATCCCTTCGCGTTTTCTATTCTATTCTACAATGGGAAGTGTTCTGAGGAATTGTCCGGATTAGTTCCAGCCGTCAAATTTCACGAACGCACATCGGGTCAAAATTCCCGATACCATCCTCACCGTCTGGATGCTTGGCGGTCCACCACTGTGCGTTTTGCTAGGAGTTTTCTTCCTCGTACAACTTCTATGTGGAATTGTTTACTACCTTAAAGAAAATAGCTTACTCTTTTCTAAAAGGCCGGTAACGCACCTGCAATTCCCCTGATGTTGCGGTTGTTCATGGGCGGCGCTAGTCACTTACCATCAGGTGAGCTGCATGCTCGCTTGCCCCCTCTTCTAAAAAAATATATAAAGCGCAATTGCGGTCGCGCATGGAGTACCAGTTACACATGGGCTGGTGCTGCAAAATACCACTTGGCAGCGTTGAACTCAGTGGAGACGTGGTAAGAGGCTCATTGGTGATCTTGATTTGTTTGAAACTAACCTTGTCAGACTAACCTTGTTGTGAAGAAGCGATCGAGCGGAACCAGGGCTCCAAAGTCTTTGCCAGAGATCTGTCTGCCAGAAAGAGCCAACTGTCAAGGCTGAAGACTGAGTGTGGCAACAACGTTTCCGGGACACCTGAGATTCTGAGTGAGATTGAGAGGTTCTATGGGCAGCTGTACACATCATCGTTGGAGCCACACTCAAGTGTGAGTAACGATCCAAGAGCAAGTCTTATCCGACACTATTCCGATGATATCCCGGACGTCAGTCTGAGCGAGATTAGAATGGCTCTCCAACACCTTAAAAACGGCAAGGCCCCGGGCGAGGATGGAATTACAGCGGAGCTTCTGAAAGCGGGTGGAACACCGGTACTTGAAGTCCTTCAGAAGCTCTTCAATTCCGTCCTCCATGGTGGCACTACTCCAGAGGCGTGGAGCAGAAGTGCGGTGGTCTTGTTCTTTAAGAAAGGCGACAACGCCCTCTTGAAGAACTACAGACCGATTTCCCTTCTGAGCCGCGTCTACGTGCTGTTTTCGAGAGTCATTACGAATCGTCTCGCAAGCAGACTCGACGACTTCCAGCCTCCCGAACAAGCCGGTTTCCGAAAAGGCTTCAGTACCATAGACCACATACATACCCTGCGGCAGATTGTACAGAAGACTGACGAGTACAATTTGCCACTTTGCCTGGCGTATGTGGACTATGAGAAAGCCTTTGATTCCGTCGAAATTTGGGCGGTGCTGCAGTCCCTTCAGCGGTGCCAAGTTGACTGTCGGTATATCGAAGTGCTGAAGTGTTTGTACAGTAGGGCTACGATGGCTATCCGAGTACAGAACCAGAGCTCGAAACCTATCCAACTGCAGAGAGGTGTAAGACAGGGTGACGTTATATCCCCGAAACTCTTCACCGCTGCTTTGGAAGACGTTTTCAAGCTACTGGACTGGAAAGGATACGGTATTAACATCAATGGCGAGTACATCACTCACCTTCGATTTGCCGACGATATAGTCCTTATGGCAGAATCGCTGGAGGACCTTAGCACTATGCTCAATGACCTCAATGGTGTCTCCCAACGGATAGGTCTTAAGATGAACATGGACAAAACAAAGATTATGTTCAATGTCCATGTCACACCTATGCCGGTAGTTGTGGGGAGCACTATGCTCGAAGTTGTTGACGAGTACGTTTACCTGGGACAAATAGTCCGACTAGGTAAGTCCAACTTCGACCGAGAGGTCAATCGACGGATTCAACTCGGCTGGGCAGCGTTCGGGAAATTACGACACATCTTCTCGTCAGGTATACCTCAATCTCTGAAAACTAAAGTGTACAACCAGTGCGTGTTGCCAGTGATGACTTACGGATCAGAGACGTGGTCCTTCACTGCTGGCCGTATGAGGACGCTCAAGGTCGCTCAGCGAGCTATGGAGAGGGCTATGCTCGGAGTTTCTCTGCGTGATAGACTCAGAAATGAGGATATCCGCAGTAGAACCAGAGTGACCGACATAGCCCAACGGATTAGTAAGCTGAAGTGGCAATGGGCCGGCCATATAGCTCGAAGAACCGATAACCGATGGGGAAGAAAGGTTCTCGAGTGGCAGCCTCGTACCGGTAGGCGTAGTGTAGGGCGACCCCCCACTAGATGGAGTGACGACCTGGTAAGATATGCAGGGAAGTCGATGGATGCAGGTGGCTCAGGACCGTGCATTGTGGCATTACTTGGGGGAGGCCTATGTTCAGCAGTGGACTTGTGAAGGGCTGTAATGATGAATGATGATGAACCTTGTCAGCCTCGAGCATAGGTGTAGAGTAGCCAGCCTCTCGGTATTCTATAAGGATGTATTTCGGTGAGTGTGCGTAGGAATTGCAACCTTTTTACAATAGAACGACCAGGCGGTTGGCGGATCTTCATCCCTTTATTGTCGATATTCCACCAATATATGCGTACAGAACGGAGTGGGATATCTTGCCGGCGTATATCTTTCCATCCGACTACAATCTAGGCGTCTTCAAGGCAAGAGTGAATAGGTAATTTTTACTGTAAGACAGTGCGATTTATCATCTAAGGCTGCATCACCACTGACCATCAGGTGGGACTGTGGTCAAGCACTGGCTTATAAAAAGTAAAAAAGCTGTTCTTTGTAACTCTTGGCTTTCGTATCACCATCAAGCTTAGAGCGGGAGTAATTGATTCCACCTGCAAAATCCACTTATCTGAATTGTTTTGGTCTTTATAACTCTCTGCCTAGCGTCATCATCTATTTTATAGTGACAGTACTAGAGTCTATTTGAAAATTCCACATATCCGAATCAGATGATTCTTATAACTTTTGGCTTTCGCGTCACCACTTATTTTCTTAACTCGCGATCCGACCCGGATTTGTACGGGTGATTTTTGCATCTCGATAACAGCGCTACCTACCGGGTCCAACTGTGAATCTAAATCATCCAAAGACACACTCAAACATTTTCATCAAATTAGAGCGTTTAAAGTATCATTGTAATTTCCACATACCTTAATCACTTAATCCTTTAACTCTCGTTTCGCCTCACCTTGGTGTGAAAGTAATAAAGTCCAGCTAAGCTAAGTTCACATACCTGAATCAACTGTTCCTTATAAACCTCCGACTTTGCGTCGCCGCCCATCTTCTTCTTGGCGTGGAAGCTGTGTAGAGCCTTGTCGCGCGCGCGGCGGTGCTCCCGCGCGAGCGCGGCGGGCTGCAGGTAGGGCCGGGAGCCTCCCGCAGCCTCCTCCATCAGCGTCTCATACACCTCGCGCGCCTCTGCCACCGCCGACAAGTTGTTTGCCTGCGCCGTGGCCTGGAATCCACACCCATTAAACTAATATACAATAATGTTTTCCAAACCGAATTTCGGTTTTAGCGGCCAGTTTCAACTGTGACTTACCGTCTGCGCACCCCCCCTCCAAACGGATATTTAGTTCGGGGCTTAGTAGCCGTAACTTGGTCATCCACGGTGAACTAAGAAGACCCCACATGTCTGGCTCGTGGCGTGGCCGCTCCAAGTGGGCTCGGCAAGCCCACTTCGAACGTGTTTCAATATGTAATTTAATTAATAACTGTTTATGAACGCATATGTTTTACCCTTAGTTCACTTACTGTTACAATCAGCCTATTAAACATAAATCCACCGCTAAACATAAACCTCTCCCATTGATTGCTTCATAGTCATGTATTGCTTCATAATATGGGGGATATTTGCCATAGTTGCCACGCTTGGCAAACGGATTGACGACCGCAATTTTTATTTTTTAGTCGTTATTAAGAAATTGCTGCTGCCCATCTCCTGATTAGTTTCCCTCAGTCGCCTCTTACGACACCCACGGGATGATATGGGGTAATTAATTATCATACGCCGCCACTACACGCAGGGCACCTCTATGAGACAAAACATTTTTCTTCAAAGTACTTGCTACATATAGTCGAATTTTTTAGCCGTTGTTCTCTAATTATCATTTTCAACCATTTTTGTCGAACATCAATATTTTATGAAAATACCACAACATCCACTTATCATCAGCTGAACTGTGTGCTCATTTGTCACCCTACTTCTATTAAAAACAATATTTTTTCATATAACTAGACGAATATTTAATTACAAAATCTTTAAAAATTCTAAAAAATATATTACTAAGTTGAATAAGGCTGCATGCAAGGCATACCTTTGCGTGTTAAAAAAATTTCGATTTCAATCTCTCCAAAAATGAGGTTAAAATTAACAGGATTTCACATATTTGTTATTATTTTATATTCACTTGCTTTGCATTCAGATAATTATTATTATAAAATGTGTAATACCTATACCTATAGCATTTAGACAGTTAAACATTTTTATTGTACCCACGGGTTAATGTATAATAATGTAGGATTTCTTTCTGAGGTAAACTGAGTTATTTATAGGTGCGCTGCACTGCAATGATGTCTATCAAACTCTGATTTTGGAAATACAAGCGGGATTTGTTTGTTCACGAATGACGCCAGGCCGATATACAGGCCGATAGCGTGTACGAGAATGATCTAGCCTATCTTTCTCGCTCTAACATACGCGTACTTTATACTCTTTCTCTTTTGCATTGCCAATCTATTCCAACGTTAGTTAATATTAAAATTTATGAGTCCACCTGATAGCAAGTTTATCCAATAGGCAATAGACATCTACATTAATCCCGACCGAATTCTAAACGCAGATGCATCGTCAGTCCTGAGGACTAAGATGGAATGCTTCGTTCCAGTAAAATGAGTCTCCGGTTCTCTACATGCACCACACGAAACATAAGAGTATTAAGCCGCTTTTTCACGCTGGTATTCTTCAAGTAGGTGGTCGTTCCCCGGTCGAGCCGAACCATCCGTATTACAACTACAGCTGCTCCATGGCTCTACCACATATAATTATTTTATTCGTTTTAAAAGACAAACTCTTACTTCTAGAATGGTCTGAGGAACTGGTAATTCACTTCCATTGAACACTTCCATGTAAGCCTTAATGTAGTGGAACAGTTCCTTTGCCTTCAGCATCTCTCCCGACATCACCTTGGGCTTCAAGTTCTCCGGTGCCAAAAGCATCGGAACGAGGTCTTTCAGCTGCTTCTTGAACTCCGCGTCTATGTCTGTCAACATTACAGGAATAGAATAGAATGGAATGGAATAGAATTGAACAAATATGACAAGTGTCCCCGTCCCCAGGCAATTTTAGAGGAGGTCTTTGTTCAGCAGTGACTCGATAGGTTGTTACGTTTTAATGCGGTGTCACTGGGTATCCCAAAAGTGTAAAGAGTAACTAAGGCTTAGCTTACACAAAACAGAATTGAAAGCTTAACAGAAATTCTACAATGCGTGATAAACGAGTACACAGTCCACCTGATGGTAAGTAAATGCTGTGGCCCATACACATCCACATTTATCCTCAACTAAGGATCAAAATGCAAATGCGTTGTCATCTTTGAGAACTAAGATGGAATGCCTAGATTCCAGACTAAAAAGGTAAAAAGTTGCTAGTTTCTCATCAAACATAAGAAAACAAGTTTAAGGGCTGTAGTTAACGTGAAAAAATATTATGACACAATTTTTCTTGAGTCTATTAACATAATATAAATCTAAACAAATGTTACGAATATTCGAACTTGAATTACGAAGTTCTGCTATAAGCAGAAACACTTTCTTTTTTCAATATAAAAAAAAATAGACTGTGAAGGAAAACCGCTGTGAAGTTTTACCCTTTTTGGAGTTTATAATATTTTCCATAAAAAAGTATAATACACAATAAAATGGCTGTCAACCTTCTTTTGTACAAGGATAGGCATCGCCGGGAACACATGCAAGCAATTACGTCGTACTATCAGTTAATCACTACTACAAAACCGATTCGCTGTGTTGACAGACGAATTTTAATACATATTTATTTGTAAATATTTTAGATTATTAAGAATATATTATAGATAATTAGAAATTCGGAAACGATTATAACGTCAAAACACATCTCGTGTTGACATTTATACGTGGGAATTTACGTGTTAGTGGCCTTTTAGTGGCTACACGGGCTCCACCCATTCCCCCGTTCTATTATGTATGTATTATAGTATTCTATGATATTTTCTATATGAATGGGGTTCCGGGTTAGCTGGCCGAGTTTTAATCTATATATATATATATATATATATATATATATATATATATATATATATATATATATATATATATATATTATATATATATATATATATACTCGTAAATGGGCTATAAATATTGCGTTACTTGTTGAGAACTATATAGCTCAGCAATATTTCCAGCCATACTTTTGTTGCAATGTTATTGTGTGTTAATGTTTATATTATTTTAGGCAATGTTGCTTTAACGTGATAGAGCCATGCTGCAGCTACATCGTGGTGGTAGCTCGAATGGGTCGGCTCGACCGGGGTGGGATCAGGCTCTCACAATACACCAGCGTAAAGAAGCAGCTAAATACTGCTCTTTTTCGTATGGAGAATGTAAAGGACCGGAAACCGTTCTTACTAGAAGCGAATCATTCCATCGTAGTCCTTAAGGGTGACAAGGATAAATGTAGTTATGTATGGGCCACAGCATCCACTTACCATCAGGTGTCATGCTTCATCATTATCATTACAGCCCTTCACAAGTCCACAGCTGAACATAGGCCTCCCCCAAGTAATGCCACAAAGCACGGTCCTGAGCCACCTGCATCCATCGACTTCCTGCATATCTTACCAGGTCGTCACTCCATCTAGTGGGGGTCGCCCTACACTACGCCTACCGGTACGAGGTTGCCACTCGAGAACCTTTCTTCCCCATCGGTTATCGGTTCTTCGAGCTATATGGCCGGCCCATTGCCACTTCAGCTTACTAATCCGTTGGGCTATGTCGGTCACTCTGGTTTTACTGCGGATATCCTCATTTCTGAGTCTATCACGCATAGAAACTCCGAGCATAGCCCTCTCCATAGCTCGCTGAGCGACCTTAAGCGTCCTCATACGGCCAGCAGTGAAGGACCACGTCTCAGATCCATAAGTCATCACTGGCAACACGCAATGGTTGTACAATCTAGTTTCAGAGATTAGTTACCTGACGAGAAGATTGTCGTAATTTCCCGAACGCTGCCCAGCCGAGTTGAATGTGTCATGCTTATTGTATAAAAATTGTATCGCCGAGCAATTGAGTTCGTAAACGTTAAGCTATGTACAATGTACATTAAGGCTATGAACTAAACAACATTGGACCACAAAAATCGCGGACATCATCTCCGTATGTATCCTTCTAAACTTCCAATTTAATATTTCATCATTACTCCTAGCTCTAAGGGGGTCTTCAGAGACAATCTCGAGTCTGAACTCAAACTCAACATTATTAAAATTCAAGTCTAGTCCTTACTATACACCTGATGCTGATCTTATATTTTATTCTTATATTATGTCGTAAGCAATATACATAATTGCGAACTACTGATCACGAGGTCCTGGGTTCGAATCCCGGTTCGGGTAAAAATAATAAATTATTAAGTTTTCCGTCAAGAAATTCTCAATAGCTGCCCGGAGTCAGGAAGTTGGCGGTATATCACCCCCGTGCTTCGGAAAGCACTTAAAGCCGTTGGTCCTGCGTCTGATCTCTCTCCGGTCGTATCGGTTTACCGTTCCATCGGAATATGAGAGTGATGGAATAGAGTGCACCTGTGCTTGCGCGCATACACTGGGCACTATAAATCTGTCCTGCATTGATGGCTAGTCGCCGTGACCGAAATTCGGTCTGGATGATATTATTATTATATGCCATAGACGCAGACGTATAAGAGCCGTGGTAGCTCAGTGGTTAACGCTCGCTGTAAATATAACAGAACGCGAGTAACCCGGGTTCGATCCCCACCGGTACCAATTAAATTGTTAATTGCAATTTTAAGTGCTGATTTACCACGTGCTCGGCGGTGAAGGAAAACATCGTGAGGAAACCTGCATGTCTGAGGAATAAGAAAAAAAAATATTTCGAAGACATATGAAGTTCGTCAACACGCATTTGGGCAGCGCGGCGGACACTTCCTTGCCCTAAACCCTCTCAGAAATGAGGGGAGGCCTGAGCCCAGCAGTGGGACGTATATAGGCTGTAACTTTACTTTACTTTATGTCGTAGACAATACCAATATTTTATTTTCTCATACCGGACAATTTGCCGTTGAACTCGCGGCTCGTTGCAACCTTCATGCCTGGGTGCGGTAACAGAAAGCACGACAACTTCGCAAAGAACGATTTGATCTCTCGCCGAAGAGTTTTCAGCTCTTCATGTTGGTTTTCATTCACCTAAAACATTACAATTTATCAGTCAGTCGCACGCAGCAAATTATTTACGTTTTCCTCATTCTTACGGTCTTCGGTTTCTATTTTAGATTTTAAACCTATATAGCAGTTAGATTGGTCGGCGAATTATCAAGGTTTACAAATTTATAGGTTATTAATAACACGTCTATATAATAGCACCGACGCGACCGCGAGACTAGTGGCTTTCATCAGGACAAATCTGGTGGCGGGGTATTGGTGGCTGTGTCAAAGCATATTTATTCCCGTAGGCTACACCATTTTGAGAGTAAATGCGAGGATATTTGGATCGAATTGAATATACCTACGGAAAAAGGTACCCCAAATAAGCTTTTATTGTGTGGCGTCTACCTCCCGTCGCCCATTCAAAAACATTTTCTGGAACATTATATCGACAACGCTAATAGAGTCTTAGAGTCTAACGCAAAAGCGGTAATTTTGGGAGATTTTAATCTGAGTGGTATTGCCTGGAACGATACGGAGGTACCGTTTGCTGTAAATGGCAATAATATGACTAAGACTTCATTTGAAAGCACTTTACTGGACTTCATTGCTTTAAATAATCTTACCCAACATAATACGGTCCTAAACCATAAAGGCAAAATTTTAGACCTCGTTCTCTCTAATCTTAGTATTCAGTTGAAAGTGACACGAAGTAACTCTGAGCTCAGTTCTGTAGATGATTATCACCCACCGCTGGTATTTACGCTGCCTTCCAGGTATTCAGCTAAACTTCTTTCCCGAAATTACAATGAGAGGCATAACTTTTATAAAGCTGATTTTGAAAAAAATATCTAATTATTTAAGCTCGATACCATGGGAGAGTGACCTGGCTTCGTGCTCCTCAGTGGATGAAATGACTAACAAATTTTACTCAATACTAAGAAGTTCTATCTTAAAATATGTTCCTAAAAGCAAACCAGCATCAAAAAAGTTTCCCCCGTGGTATACCAGGGATCTTATTCGCCTCTCACGTGAGAAGTATAAGCTCAGGATAAAATACAAAAAGTACAATAACCCACTCGACGAACTGGCATTCCAAAAAATTAAAAAACGGTGCTCTGATTTAACAGAATCTTGTTATCTTAAATATATAACTGATCTTGAAAAGTCCCTATCAGTAAATCCAAAAAAGTTTTGGACCTTTCTCAAGAGTAAGAAAGTCAATAGCAATGCGTATCCATCTGCAATGACTTTCGATGATAAGGAAGAAACTTCTGGAACTGGTATTTGTAATCTCTTTTGCCTCTTATTTTGCCTCGGTTTACCGGCCAAGCTTGCCTCTCTGCAATGTACCTGATCTAGAATACTCAGTCTCTTGCTTCCTTGGAAGTCTCACCCTTAGGCGGGAGGATGTTCTGAAAACTCTGAAAGGACTAGATAGGAATAAGGGAGCTGGACCAGATGGAATACCCTCGTTGTTTGTAGTTCAATGCTGTGAATCTCTCTCCTTTCCTCTAACAATAATATTTAATGAGTCTTTAATGAATGGCGTATTTCCCTCGATCTGGAAGGAGGCGAGAATTGTTCCAGTTTTTAAGTCGGGAGATTCGGCATCCGTGAAGAACTATAGGGCCATTTCGATACTCTCAGTCCTTGGGAAGGCATTTGAATCGTTGGTTTGCCCGGTCTTGTCCTATCACATAAAGCATTTAATTTCTCCTTGCCAATCAGGATTTTTGGCATCTCGCTCAACGGTAACTAATTTGATCCCGTTTGTGGATTTTGTTTCTAGCTCCCTTGATTCCCGTATTACTGTAGACACCATATACACCGACTTTAGTAAGGCTTTCGATTCAGTTGATCACAAAATTTTACTGGGTAAACTTTCTCGTTTGGGTGTGTATGGCAGCCTTCTGGAATGGTTTGAATCCTATCTTTATCAACGCAAGTCGCACGTTGTGGTTAATGGTTACGCATCGCATTCCTTTCAGCCAACTTCCGGCGTTCCACAAGGTTCGCATCTGGGTCCAATCCTCTTTAATATATTTATTAATGATATCGTGGGTATCTTTGATCATGCTGCTTGTTTCCTTTACGCTGATGATATGAAACTGTCTATGCAGATCGGAGGTATTAATGATTCATTGCTATTACAGGAGGATCTAGATCGACTCGCTGGATGGTGTAGGGAGAACAGGTTATATTTAAATACTGAAAAATGTAAATTTATCAGATTTTCGAGATGCAAAACGAATTTGTCGCCGTCCTACAATATTGCCGGTCAAAAATTGCAAGAGGTGGACTCTATTCGCGATTTGGGCGTCATTATGGATAAAAAATTACGTTTTCACAAGCACATTGACCAGGTCGCAACAAAAGGTTTCCAGATACTAGGGTTTGTGCTGCGGAATGCAATGGAATTCAAAAAGCCCTCAACAAAAGTTCTCCTGTATTTGGCATTGGTTCGTTCGGGTTTGGAATATTGTAGTCAGGTTTGGTCCCCACATTATGAGGTTCATATCAGGCGAATCGAGCGAATACAGAAGAGATTTCTCTGGCACCTATCCTACCAATCTAACAAAGCGAAACTGCTGCCCTCATATAAGGAACGTCTTGCCTATTTTAAAATGACTAGCCTACAAGGGCGAAGATTGTTTTTGGATCAATTGCTTTTTTATAAGATTATCAATGGCCTCATTGACTGCCCTGCGTTATTGCGATCTGTCAATTTTAATATCCCATACAAGTTGCCGCGTTGCGTACGTTACGTTCCATTCTCACCAAAAGGTGCCAAAAGTAGCTTAGGTCACCATGCCACCATGAATCGCTTACAGAGACAGTACAACTTAATATCTAAGTCTTACAACATCGACATCTTTTCTGACAAGCCGTTGAAATTTAGACGCAAGCTCGGTCAGTTTCTCAAGTCAATGGTGTCTGTTTGATTCAAGTATCTATATCTATGGTTTGATTTTTTAACATATAAAAATAATGATTGTTAAATGATGATTAAAATGTTTTAAGTTGTCATTTGCTTAGTGTTAACTAACCTATTTTAAGTTTTATTTGCATAGTCCATATTTGCATGCCGTGGCAGCCTATAATTAAGATGACGCTTAGCTTTAGTTTGATATTCATGTTACCTTAAAATCCATGTATTAGTGTTCGTCTTGTTGGTTGTCCTTTTAAATAAATAAAAATAAAAATAAAATAAAACACTTATTGTACCTCTTGTTTTTTATCATTCAATTGCTAGGGTTAAAAAAAGATAATAAAGGTTGTAATGTAACTACATATATAGACTTTTTTTATAGAAAAAGATGACAAACGAGAGCACCTATAGACATCTACATTTATCCTTGAATAAGAATTAAAACGCAGATGTGTTGTCAGCCCTGAGGACTGAAATGTAATGCCTCGTTACCAGTAAAAAGGGGTCTCCGGATCTCTACACTCACCATACGTAACACAGCAGCATTACGCTGCTATTTTACGCTGGTATTCTGTGTGAATGTGGTTCTTGCCCCGGTCGTACCAACCCATTCGTGCTACAACCATAATATTGCTGCAGCATAGCTTTACTACGTATAACTTCATTCTGTTTGTTACCTTGAGCTTGCAATATAGTTTAGTCAATTCAAAAGAGTCAAAAAATTACGTTAAGATTCTCTCGTATCGGGATGCAGTTTACATGCATAAATTGCACAAGGACAAACATCCAAATCCGGAACAGTTATTTGTAGACCATATAAACACTTGTTCCGTGCGGGATTCGAACCCGCGGCCCTTAGCACCGTAACTCATTGCCAAGCCACTGCGCCACGGAGCCGTCAAAAACATTTGCATGTTTTATTTACTTGACTAAATGTTAAAATGAAAAATAAAATAAAACTGCGTACCTCGAGTCTCTTCTCCAAAAGTCTTTGTCCGCCTTCAGCTCCGTATGGATACTCGTAAGGCACGCTCCAGTCCCTCACCAAGAACTGTAAGTGTTGGAAGGGCTTTCCTTCTGTCTTCTCCAACGCCACTCTGCCGTAATCTGTGAAAAGCTTAAATATAGGACTTAATTAAAATATATGAACAGAAATGTTGAGATAGATTTTTTGTAGAAACTATGGTCATTAGATAACCTCATTTATTATTTATTAAGAATCAAAATGCAGGAATGAGTTATTCAGGACATGAGGGCTAAGATGGGGAGAAACAAAGTATAAATTACCTGCAAGTGTTGCAGGTCATCCTCTTCAATATTCTGCGAGATATTGTAGATAATGACGGATGATATCATGGTGGAGAGTGCGAATACTGTCGCGTTGTCCCGCACGGTCGACTGGCTGTCAAAAGTGCCCTGCGTGTCCATGAGGAAGATGGCAACCTAAAATAAATAAGATTTGTCAGGAAACTTATTACAAAATTAAAAAAAAAACTAAAAGTATAAAAAAATTAAAATAACACAAGGGTTAATTAATAGAATCAGGCGTTACTATCCAGAAATGCATTATATTAAAGTTGGAACAAATTACTTTGCTTATATCCAAAGTAATTTGTTCCACCTATAATGAAACAAGGGTTGGAATAAAAGGATATAAGCAAAGTAGTTTGTTCCAACTTTCATAAAACAATCATTTCTAATAAGCACAGTAATCAGCACAACATGGGATTTAACAAAACATTTGTGTTGTCACATGAATGATGAACCATGATAGCCCAAAGCAGCATGTGGTAACATACATTGTTAATATACATTGTTTATTACCACATTCTATACAATAAAATACAAAAGCTTTATTTCAGATATCAAGGGCTTAAAAATAAAGAACATTGGCTCGTAGCAATATACATTATTAATTAAATTAAAGCTGTCCTTTCTTCTTTCACCCTGCCCTTCGCAGCTAAGCTGTAGTCCCGGGAGAAGAAATATGTTCACGTACGTGAGTGTATAGTGAAGCGCCACTGAGTGTATAGTAAGAAAAAGTGTCAATATTTAGAGACTAGATCCGTCGTTGAGGCCGGGAAGGCTGATACTTCCGTGTACATGTTTTTCCTGGTTTTACCAAATTTATCGTAGCGGCCTCATGAGCAGGGGGTATCCGATGCGCCAGTGAAGATCGAGGAAATGAAAGAAGGCGTCTTGCCTGAGGAGGAGAAGAAGGGGAGGAGTTGTCCTCTTCTGAGCGGCGACAGACGCTGGTGGGGTTGAGGCTAATCGATACTAATTCGACATAACCTGTCCTTGACCTCGCGATGCAGTTTTAACATATTCCTTTCCCCATATATAAAGAGTTAAAACAATATTCAAATACCCTCTATTAGTAGGTACATCAAACAAAATATGACATAATGTTTTTGGACTGTCAAAATTCCTCTGCTGGACATTCGATCTCCCCCATAGATTGCGTCATAGAGGGGACGCTTGGTGGACAGGTTGGTAACCGCATTTTTTTATTATCTGGTTGTTATTAAGAAGACTGCCCATCTCCTGGTTTGTTTACCTATATTGCTGCTTACAACACTTACGGGATATGGAGTAGTGGTCCACTACGCGTAGATGTATGTATATATATGTATGTTTATGTTATAATAATAATGTCCTCCAGACCGAATTTCGGCCACGGCGGCCAGCCTCAACGGAGGCTAGCCATCGGCGCAGGACAGTATTATAGTGCCCAAGTGTAAGCACAGGTGCACTCTCTGTTCCCTCACTCTCATAACCCGATGGGACGGTAAACCGACACGACCGGAGAGAGACCAACGGCTTTACGTATATATAAGTCAATACTTTACGTGCTTTTCTAGGCAAGGGGGTGAGACACCGCCAACTTCCTGACTCCTGGCAACTACTGAGAATTTCTTGACGGTAAAACCCGGAAAGGCCCGACCCGGGATTCGAACCCAGGACCGCATGATCAGCAGTCACACTACTACAACCACTAGACCAACGAGACAGTTTATGTTATATTATTGTTTAAAAGCGGTTTTGTTTGGCGTTTGGTTGTCTATGTATCACCTCCTCTCCATTCTCGAGCGTCGCTTTGAAGGGCTGCGACCAAAGCAGCAGGCCGGTGGTGTGGCGCTCGGAGCCGCCGCGCCAGCTGAAGCCCTGAAGCGGCTCGTCCTCAGCTCCCAGCCAATCTCCGTCTTTCAAATTTAATACGTACTGCAATGATATTTTATATTCATTAATTTTTCTAAACTATAGACTTTTGCATTATAACTTAATCTACAACTCTGAGCAGAGAAGAAAAGGCGAAAGAAACATCATTCTCTTTTTATAGGTGCCTTATATTTTATAACTTCAAAAATAGACCCATTGGACTATTTAGTGCAAAAAAATAATTTGAATTTGAATTGGAAACTCGGACTGCATAGTAACTAGCTATTCTCTGATACTCGTAATAAACAAGGCGTCGATATATTTTTCATACATAAGAGCCTATTAAAATCCGCTACTGAACAAAGGTTGCCCTCATAAATTGCCTCAAAGAGGATTTTGCCACAGTTGCCACTCTTGGCAGCCGCAACGTTTTATAACTTTGAGTTGTTATCAGGAAGAATCTGCTGCCCATCTCCTGTTTCAATTTACCTCTGTCGCTTCTCAAGTCACCTACATGACGATATCAGGTAGTGAATATTCTTACTAGACATGTGTCAACTGTGAATGATTCGTTCGTTTCAAAGTATTGATGATTGCAATTAAATTGTTTGAACGTTCCGGATCAAACGATTGACAGGACTTTTTTTATAAAATAAGGGTGACCAACGAGCACACAGTCCACCTGATGGTAAGTGGATGCTGCGGCCCATAGACATCCACACTGAAATCAAAGAAGAATCAAAATGCAAATGCGTTGTCACCCCGAGGACTAAGATGGAAAGCGTCGCTTCCAGTAAAACGGGTCTCCGGTTCTCTACCGCCACTCACGGTTGACGGTGGTATTCTGTAAGAGCGTGGTCCTGCCCCGGTCAAGCAGACCCTTTGTGTTACAACCATAATATAGCTGCAGCGTGTCTCTGCCACGTGTAAACTACAACCAGAATATAGTAATGTCCGCCGGCAAACATTATCGAGCTGGTGTCACAGAGTACTGAAACTAGAAATGATCCATTTTAATGATCGACCCTAATGACCTGGTTCGTAATACAAATCAATACATGAATGATCGGGTCACTTGAAATGAATGAAGGACAGCATGTCTAATTTATACTCCACCACTACACGGTTCAGAGCCGATCCGTGCAAACCCGAACAGACCCGTCACCACAAATAGCACTTGTTCGTAAGTACAACCCTTATGACAGCCATAGTATATTAAGTTTAATCTTTATCGTTTTAAAGTTTTAGCAATGATTACTGACCGTATGATGCAGGTACCGCAGGAAGAAGTCAAGAAGGAAGGACTTGCCCTTCCTGAATGCGCCGGCAACTGACACAAGAATTACTGATCGGTTTCTGATGTCAGGGCTATCAAGTAAAGCCACTAGGGCCTTCTCATCTAGCTCAAATGTGTGGTCAGGCTTCGGGCTCACGATTTGCAGCCCTCTGCCATCTTGTAACTTTTCTGAAGTTGCTGAAAAGTAAAAATATTTGAATTTATGTCAATTTATTTAAAAAATGTAAAGTATATTTCAGCTATGTGTTTATTTGGATGTTTTTTTTTTTTATAGAATAAGGGTGACAATCGAGCACAGAGTCCACCTAATGGTAAGTGGATGCTGTGGGCTATAGCCATCTAAATCTATCCACGATAAAGATTCAAAATGCAGATGCGTTGTTACATATGAGGACTAAGATGGAATGCTTCTTTTCCAGTAAATAGAGTCTCCGGCTTTCCACACTCACCATACCGACCGAGTCGGTTCCGAGCTGAGTGTCGGCTGTGGCACGGTCACCGAGCCGGTCCCGTGCCTGAAATTACAAACAAGGGTCTCGACCGAGCAGATAGTGTTATAACTAGACTACAATCATGTTGAAGTTTGACGATCTGGAATTAGCGGCTATTGCTATCGCTCTGGATGATGAAGATTCTGATAAATCTTCAACTACAAGAGTTGTTGCCGAGCGTTATCCGTTACTCGGCCGCCTCTTGCCGCTCGGTATAGCGTGTTTCCATACAAAATATACGTAGTTATTATTAGTTGACCGTGCTATGGCCGAAACTTGGCTCGGACCCGACTCGGTCTAGCGTGAGTCAACCTTAAAGCTGCTATTTTACGCTGGTATTCTTGTGAGAATGTGGTTCTGCCCGGTCGAGCCGACCCATTCGTACTACAACTTTAACATATCTATAGCATGGCTCTACCACGTGTATTTAAAATTAAAATTGTTCGATGACGGTGCGAATACCATAGAAAACACCTGTTTATGTGGCCTGCGAATAATTGATATTTGCAAATGCCTGCACGATAAAAGGCAACTTTATTTAAAGGAGAATACAAAAAAAAATTAAATAATAACAGTAATGATCCTATTGGCATACCTCACTTTTAAAAAATACCATTTTTTCCAACTTAACGAACCTAAAAGCGCCCTAGACTTAAGGCGGTCCTTTCGCAAAACCAGTAACATTTGTCGCTTTTTCTCTTTCTATCTCTTTGTCTTTTCCTATTTTTTTCGTATATTAATATGTATGTCAGGCTTCAGGGTAAGTGATAAAACTGTATTAATCCACTTAAACAAATCGGGAAAGCAAAAAAACTTGACCGATGGGTACCTCATGAATTGAGTGAATCGAACTTGCAAACACGCGTCGACTGCTGTGTTACTTTGCTCAACCGACACAAAAATGAAGGGATTTTAAATCGAATAATTACTTGTGATGAAAAGTGGATACTGTACGATAATCGGAAACGCTCGTCGCAATAGGTGAACCCTGGAGACCCAGCCAAATCCTGCCCTAAACAAAAATTGACTCAGAAAAAGTTACTTGCAAAAACATCCCCACCGATAAATTCCGTAAAAATTAGTATTATTTCAATTACTTGTGAGTGTTTGGTGGACTAGCACCGGTGTCAATTACTAAAATCTTTCTAAAATCTATCCAAACGATTACGGCAGATATCTATTGCCAGCAACTCCAAACCATGAAGGAAGAACTAGCTGCTAAACAACCGAGATTGTTCAATCGCTCTAGGCCACTGCTGCTTCACGAGAACGCAAGACCACACACTGCACAAAAAACAACCACTAAGTTAGATGAGCTACAATTGGAATGTCTGCGACATCCACCGTTCTCCCTGGACCTAGCTCTAACAAATTACCATTTTTTCCTGAATTTGGACCACTTCTTACAAGGACAAAAATTCAAATCCGATGCGGCAGTCCAAACCGCCTTAAGAGAGTTTATTGATTCTCGCCCCCATGGTTTTTTTAGTAAAGGGGTCAATGAACTACCTATGAGATGGCAAAAGTGCATAGATAACAACGGTGCATTCTTTGATTAATAAAATATATTTTACGAAAAAAAATTACTTTATATTCCTGCTGTACAAAACGCCAATTTCATATGTTAGGACCTATTATTTTAATATGTGATAGAGTCATGCTTCAGCTGTATTATAGTTGTAACACAAAGGGTTGTCTGGACTAGGGAAGGACAATTCTCTCATAAAATATCTGTGAAAAATAGCAGCTTGATACTGCTGTGTTTCTTTTAGTTGGGTTGAGAGAATTATAGACCCTTTTCTCTGGAAATGAGGCTTCCAAGTACTCAGAGGTGAAAAGTATGAGATGGCAAAAGTGCATAGATAACAACGGTGCATACTTTGATTAATTAAATATATTTCACAAAAAAAAATTGACTTTATATTCCTCCCGGTCCAAACGCCAATTTCATATATAAAGACCTATTAGTTTTAATTGCTTGTACAAAATCGTTGGCCTGCTCAACCACAACAAATTGAAGATGCAAAGAAGGGACCGAACATCAGTAAAACAAATTGAAGATGCAAAGAAGTGACCGAACATCAGAAAAACAAATTGAAGATGCAAAGAAGGGACCGAAAATCAGTAAAACAAATTGAAGATGCAAAGAAGGGACCGAACATCAGTAAAACACAGGTCTCTGATATTCGTGATGTGTCAAGGCAATATTCGAAAAAGGAAAACAAAACATCTAATCTGACAGTTGAGTTCTCCAATACTCTTACAAAAAGTAATTTCTTGTCTCTGGTTAAGAATTATAACAAACGTAACACAAACAATAAGCTGAATTCGTCTCATCTGGGTCTAGATGGCCCACTTACTCCTATTTATATCACTGAACAGCTCACTCCTAGCTCTAAGTCATTGTTTTATATCACGCGAAAATTTGCAAAATAAAACCAGTACGCATATTGCTGGACATCAAATGGGAGAATCCTGCTGAGAAAAGACGACAAATCTCCCTACATTATAGTAAGAAATGAGCAGCATTTAAACCAGTTGTCTACATCCAAAGGAGCATGACTACGAAAACATTTTCGATTTTGTTTACGTTATATATTATTAATGTTTTTCCCATTTTTTTTATATTTGCTTACTGTTTAAGTCCCAATAAGTTAACTAATTACACCCACTTACTTATCTTAATGACTAACATAGATATTATATATTTACACCCACACAAATTAAACTTACCACATATTTACACACATAACATTACCATAAAATTCATACAAAATGTGAACTATAATATTACACTAAACATTAACACTAATATTCTTAACACCATTATTAAAATTATTAATATTGCTGTATACCTACAAAAACATAATTTTAGCATTTCCCAGCCTCTAGTGCTGTCGTATGTAGAATTACCACGTCGATATTTCGGTTCAACTATATGCACAACAGATAATAACTCCATCCTTATAACAGCCTTTCCTACGAACCTTTCTACCCTTAATTTAAACCACGAAAATGGCTAATAGCATTAATAATTTAATTGAAAACGTTGACCAACTTTCAGTTTCCGATTCGCTTTTCTGTACCATCGAAAAATCCAATCAAATATTGCAAAACCCAAAGCAATATATAAAAATTTTTAACCAAAATATTCGGTCTATTAACTGTAACTTCTTAAATTTACAAACAACTTTACAGATCATAGCGTTTGATTGTGATATTTTGACATTGACTGAATGTTGGTTATCCTGTTATTCAATTCATAAAACATCTAGGCACCTTAATCAAAGCGATGGTGTTCTTGTATACATAAAAACGTCTTTATCCTCGATTGTCGAAGAACCAGACTTTAACGGATCAGCCTCCGGACTAATAATTAAAATCAATTCTGATATAGCAGTGATTTGCATATATCGATCTCCTTCTAATGAAAATATTAGTTCATTTCTATCTGCCTTAAACGATATACTCCTGTCACTCTCAAAATACAAAAATGTTATACTAATCGGAGACATTAACATTGACATTAAAACCTTCAATAACCACTCACACGAGTATCTAAATTGTCTTGCTTTTCATGGGTTGTTACCTGCTCATACCTTCCCAACAAGAGGTAACAACTGCCTTGACCATACTTTTGTTCGATCTAAATTCCCAGTCTTAACTTTTGTACTTGATACAACTATCACCGATCACTACTCTTCAATCATATGTATCAAAACAAAAAATACATATCTCAAACCTCCTAAGACAATCTCGAAAATAAACTATATAACATTAGACAAAACAATGGAGCAAATAGATCTTAAACCTATTCTAACACTCAATGACCCTAACATAGCAACGGATAGTTTTATACAGCTAATGTCTCAAGCTATACTCGATAATACGTACACTATCAAATTATCAGCAAAAAAGAGGATACTCAAACCATGGATAACTCCAGGTTTATTAAGATGTATCCATAACAGAGACTCTTTACACAGAAAGTTAAAACAAGATCCAAACAATTTAACACTTGTTATAACATACAAAAGGTACCGGAATTTCTGCACAAAAATATTAAAAAAGGTAAAAAGGCAGTACGATTCGGAGCAAATAAAAAAAGCAGGTAAAAACAGTAAAGATTTATGGAACACTATAAAGAATATCGCTTGTAACGAAAAATCTCGAGAATCGACAGCACAGCAATTATTATCTTCTATCTCACCAATTCAGTCATGTAATAACGTTAATAAATTCTTTATCAACATCGGGAAGGAGCTAGCGCAAAAAAACACCAGCAATTGCGCAGTTCCACCAAAAGGAACCACCCTAGTAAAATCTAATCTGTCATCTTTTGTTTTAGAATGCACGGACACTGATGAAATTAAATTACTTATTAATTCGCTTAAACATAATGCAGCTACCGGATGGGATGAAATTTCACCGAGTTTTTTAAAACGATACTCCCCTATTCTCGCACCTATTCTAGCCCATATTTATAATCTCTGTCTAGAATATTCTGTCTTTCCTACCTCTTTCAAGAGGGCTATCGTCCATCCAATTTTCAAGAGTGGTGATGGGAATCTCATTAATAATTATCGCCCCATTGCGGTGCTTAGTGCTTTATCAAAGGTTTTGGAATGTTTAGTCAACAGGCGACTAGCAAAGTATCTGGAGCACTGTAATATAATCTCTTCACAA